AGCCTTCGGAGGGAGTGGGGCGTCCTCAGGCTGTCTTGGGGTTCGGTGGATGCATTGATCCCCATCCCAAGCAAGGAGACAGGCGCACCTGCTGCCTAGAGGCCCCACCCACTCCGTGTGCGCACAGGAGAACACTGAGTCTAGCAGGCATTGGCATTTTGGGTGGAATGGTGTGGACGTCATACCCAGTAACAAAGCCGTCTGACTTCTGGGCACCTGGCATCACCTGAGACTCTTCCTCCAACGCGGCCAGAAGTGACAATTGTCCTCGGGCCTCAAATCTACTGATTTATTATTTGGCTGCTCTGTCTCTGGCTGCAGAGTTTCGTGGGGCCGGGTCCCATCTTGGAGCTGGAAGAATGGTTTCCAGAACAGAAGCATTGCTGGAAGTTGTGTGACCTCAGGCATGCCGTTCGCTCCCTGGGTGGATGGAGTGCCTGCTGTGCACCAGGCCTGTGCGCCCAGGGCATGTGGTGTGAAGGGGGCTGTTCTGTGCTGCTCCCTCTGGACCACAGGGCTCTTGTGAGCGCCGGATGGGAGGGGGTGGATCTAAGGACCATCTGGGAACACCCAGAGGAAGAGAGTTGCTCTGAAGCCGTCCCAGGCAGGCTCTCTGGGCGCATGGGACCGGCCAGATGCAGTCACAGAGACGAGGAGGAACAAAGCAGAAGGAAACGGAGGGTGGTGGAGGGCAGTGGTTTACAGACGTAACCACTGGGAGCTGTTTCTTCAGACTGAGGCGGATGTAGTGTATCCTTTTTCCCGCTGTAACAAATTACCACCAATGGGGGTGGCTTAGAGTCGCAGAAGTTTGCTCTCTCACTGTTCTGGAGGCCCCAGGTCCACAATGAAGGTGTTGGCAGGGTCACGTGTCTCCGGGCTCTGGGGAGAGTCTTCTCTTGGCCTCTTCCAGCCTCTGGTGGCTGCGCATTCCTTGACTTCCAGCTGCATCCCTCCATCCCTCCTTGTGGCCATGCTGCCGCCGCCCCACTGTGTCTGTCCACTTATCTCTGTGTCTGTCCACTCTCCTGTGTGTCCCTTTAAGGCAGGATGGGGAACCTTTCTTCAACCAAGGGCCGTTGGGATATGTATAACGTCACCCCAGGGCCATACAGAATCATCGACTTAAAAATTAGCCTGTGCCCGGCCGGCATGGCTCATTGGTTGAGCATCGACCTAGGAACCAGTAGATCACGGTTCGACTCCCAGTCAGAGCACATGCCCGGGTTGTAGGTTCGATCCGCAGTGTGGTGGTGTGCAGGAGGCAGCCGATCAATGGTTCTCTCTCATCGGTGATGTTTCTATCTCTCTCTCCCTCTCCCTTCCTCTCTGAAATCAATAAAAAAAATATATTTTAAAAAAATAACCTGCTGTTGTTGGTCAGACATTTAATTAATTCACCCCTAATATGTTGACCCAAATTATTTTGTGGGCCTTGTGTGGCCAGCGATGTGGATGCTTCCCACCCTGCTTTAAGGATTTCTCATTGCTTAGGGCCCACCCAGATAACCCAGGATGATCTCATCTCAAAACCCTCAATTATTAATATCTAGAAAGAACCTTTTTTTCTAAATAAAGTCTCATTCATAGGTTCTAGGGATTAGGATGTAGGCATATATTGGGGGAGGGGGGCGCAGGCAGGGGTGCCATTTACTGTACCCCTCTACAAGGAGAAAGAAGCCCAAACATATATACATTAGACCAAGCTATTGTATCAGAGAGAGAGGGGTCTTGGAATTCTGTTTAAGACCACCCTCCTCATTCAGGCCTCATGAGTGCTTTAAGAGTCCTGTATTAGCTCCAGCGGGCCTCTTTGCTGGTCTTGGGAAGCTGTGCTCGGGGAGGCCGGGGTTGGGACCATTGAGGGCCTCGCCACGGGGAGTCCTGTATTAGTCAGCTCAGGCTGACTAATAACCAAGTACCATCGACGGGACAATTTCTCCCAGTTCTGGAGGCTGGAAGTCTGAGATCGGGGGCCAGCATGGTTGGTGCTGGTGAGGACCCTCTTCCTAGCTTGCACACAGCCACCTTCTCTCTAAGGAACCCCTAGGCCTTCAAGGAACACACTTTGAGAACCATCACTGTAGTGAAAGGCGAAGGCTCTTAGGGAATTCCTTGGGCAAGAACCCGCTTGGTCTGGCTTCTCTCCCAGCATTCTGGCATGAGGCGTAGCCAGCGACCACAGACGCTATGTACTTGCTGAGAAAAGGCCTCTCGGTGCCCGGCTTCAGATTTTTTATGTTGAAGTGTGACTCAGGCTAAATATAAAATTCATAGCATATCTTGAGCAACTATTTTGTAGTTATCTATATATAAATCTGTTTTACAGAGACACAAATAGAATAGATTGTGGAGTGTCAGCGTGCAGATAGATTCCGAGTGCTTTTCACTAATATACCTAATGATTCGTGCTGAGAATATCCAAGGGCTCCACTGTACATTTAAATGGATATAATTAAAATAATGAGCTCTATTTTAAAAAATGATAGATGGAAAAAAAAATTTTTTTTTCCGTGCAGAAGTTAGAAGGAGCTGCACCACTAATTCAAAGTGATGTAAGTACTCCTGCGATCCCATTGTTATTAGGACGCCTAATTAAATGCAAAGCAGCCGAGAAAAGCAACATTTGTGCTTGTAAATCTAAAGCATGAAGCCGTGTCCCCCGCGCAGCAGGGCCTCAGGGGTGTCACATGTAAGGGAGCGTATGTTGTGTGCCATGGTGCCTGTGGGTGAGGGGAGGGCTCACGTGGATCCCAGTGTCAAGTGCGGGGATCGCCTATGAAGGGACCGCCTGTCCTAGGCGGATGGGACATTCGGAGAGAGGTTCTAACTGCATCCCCAGTGACAGGGCAGGTCCCGGAGGTGGGGATGTCAGCCTCATAATGACAGCCGCCACCCATGGAAACCTGCTCTCTGCCAGCTCCCTGGCTCATCTGGCAAGGATTATGGTTCCCCTTTAATAGAGAAGGAAACTGAGGCCCAGAGAAGGGAATCTTTGGCCCGCGGTCACAGGGTGTATGGATGCCCAGCCTTTCTGACTCCCAACAGCTCCTCCCTCTCAGCAGGACGCCCTGATGCTTGTGAGGTCCTGCAGAGCAGAAAGGGACACTGAGTCTATTCAAGTGCTCACAGGACTCAGGCTGAACTTCCAAACACGGCCAGTGAAGGGAGGGCTGAGGGAAGGGGGCCCTGCCCTGCCCATGACCTCCGCTGTGGAGGACACGGGCAGGTTGGACACCCGCTCCAGCGGGCCTCTTTGCTGGTCTTGGGAAGCTGTGCTCGGGGAGGCCGGGGTTGGGACCAGTGAGGGCCTCGCCACGGGGAGTCCTGTATTAGTCAGCTCAGGCCGCCATAACCAAGTACCATCGACGGGACACTTTCTCCCAGTTCTGGAGGCTGGAAGTCTGAGATGGGGGCCAGCATGGTTGGTGCTGGTGAGGACCCTCTTCCTAGCTTGCACACAGCCACCTTCTCTCTGTGTCCTCACACTCTGGGGACAGAGTCAGGGAAAGAGGAATCCCTCTGTCTCTCTCCTTCTGAGGCCACAGTCCTGTCAGATTAGGGCCCCACCCTTTTGACCTTATTTAACCTTAATTACCTTGTCAAGACCCTCTCTCCAGATGCAGTCACGTTGGGGATTAGGACTTCACCATATGAGTTGGAGGGTTGAGGACACAATTTAGTCTATAGCACCTCCAGTGGCCTTTCCTTGCCCCCCTTGTTAATTTGGGGGGGGAGGTGTCTCTCTCTCTCTCTCTCTCTCTCTCTCTCTCTCTCTCTCTCTCTCTCTCTCTTTCTCGGCTCATTTTCTTCACCCTGGACAGAGCTGGGAGGGACAGCAGATGTAATCAAACCCATGCTGTTGTGATAGGTGAGGATGGAGCCCAGGGAGGAGAAGGGTCTTGTACAGAGTCACACAGCAAGTCCACTGTGGGTCCTGGGCCAGAACCTGGGTCCCTGCTTCCCAGTTCATGTGCCAGTGGGTCTTGCCCGAGCGGGTCTGGAGTCTGGGCCTTGAAGATCGCCCTGCAGACGCTTCTCTGGAGCAGTGGGGACGGTTGGGTGCGACCAGGGCAGCAGCCCCAGGCCTGGACTATGACTTGATTTCCCAGCTGTGCACATCTTAGCTTCCCCACCTCAGAAACAGGAGCCGTGGTGACAGCCTCCTGCCAGAAGCATGAGTGCGCCTTATGATAAAGCCGTGCAGGAGCGAATCGCAGGGACCAGGCTCCATGCCTTGACCCGCAACCAGTCTTGTGTGTGGCCCTGGGCCGGTCACAGCTCTGTTCTAGGCCTTCGTACTGAGCTCTTACCTGGAGGATGTTTTCTGATGTTTGAAGAGCCACTTAGAGGCCAGCGTGTTGGGTGCCAAGTGTTGGCTCCAGGATTTCTCCACCGAGGGAGCCTCTCTGGCTTCTAGTTCCCCATCTGTGACACCGGAGAGGGGAGAGCTTGGGTGAGGTCTCCAGGCCTCCCGCCAAGGAGCGAAGCGAACAGCACCAGACACTTCGCACATCGAGCCGCGTGCATGCTGGCTGCTGCCTGTGCGGAAGGAGGATTGGCAGCAGCGCCAGCGTCAGGGGGGCGCTTGTTAGAAACGTAGACTCTCAGGCCAAATCCCGACCTGCTGAACCAGAACCTGTGTTTTGCCAAGATTCTCAGCTGATCTGTGTGAAGCTTGAGACGTTATTTCCCTCAGGCAGAGCCAGTTTCAGGAGTTCCTGGGCACAGGCAGACCTCTCTAGACCCCAGCTTCCCCACCTGTAAAATGAGTGGTGGTGGTGCCAGGCTAGCCCTAGTATTTTCAAACTGTGTTCCTGGGAACCCCAGGGTTCCCTGGAGGACACTCAGGGGCAGCCATGGCCACGTGCTTCAAGGAGAGGTTCATGGGGCAGGTGGCCTGGAGCTAAAGATTGTGCCACGCCCTGGGCTGCTGGGCTCCCGGGTGGGCCTGGAGGTGGGCCTGGGGTCCACACTGACCAGACTGTCTTCTCTCCCAGGGAGCGCTTGAAGCGCAGCCAGAAGAGCGCCAAGGTGGAGGGGCCGGAGCCCGGGCCGGCCGAGGCCTCGCTGAGCGCCGAGCAGGGAACGATGACGGAGGTGAAGGTGAAGACGGAGGTGCCCGACGACTACATCCAGGAGGTGATCTGGCAGGGCGAGGCCAAGGAGGAGGGCAAGGCGGTCAGCAAGGACGGGACCGGCGACGTGCCCGCTGAGATCTGCGTGGTGATCGGCGGCGTCCGCAACCAGCAGACCCTCGGTGAGTGCTTGCCCTGAGGGGGTTGGGGCTGGGCCCGGAGTCCTGGGCAGAGAAGGCCCCAGATTGCTGCCCCTCCTGACTGCGAGCCTGTGGTGGCTGCCCTCTGCCCTCAGCGAAGGAACTGGTTTCCTTAGACTTACCTCTGCCAGCACTGCTCTGGTCTAGAGCTCTCTGCTTCCCACCTGACGTGACAAAACGCCACGCATCCTTTGAGACTCTGTGTCAAATGCCTGGAACATTCTGCAGAGGAGTGAGTCCCTCATGCGTGGGCTCCCATACCCCAGGGAGGGGTCTGCATTGCCTGGTGTCCCAAAGCCTGTCGGTATTGTCTCCAGTCCAGCCGAGGAGGTATTTCCCCCTCCTCAGCTGGACTGGAGACTCCCCGGGCAGCTCGCAGTGCAGGTTCTGCTCCGAGTAGATGCTCTGTCAGTACCAGATGGGGGATGGACTGGTACCTTCTTCCCCTGCCCCTTCTGGTCTGTGCCAGGCTCGGAGGAGCTCTGAGGAAACAAGCTTCTTAGACATCATCCCTCTCCTCCCTTCCCAGCATGAGCCAGGGGATACCCCTCGGGCTGCCTGCGTTCCTGCCAGGTTCCGCCAGGCCCAGCAGATATGTTTATTTAGCGCAGGGAGGGATGAGCCAGGCAGACAGGTGGCGGGGACCGAGTCCAGCTGGAGCGCCCACACCCGGCGTGCAGAGGGGGCTCGCGCCTCAGCTGCTGCCGACTGTCATTGGTGGGGAGACAGGCTCCACGCGGCCAGCTCTCTGGGCATATACCGCGTGCCAGAAATGGGAATTTTCATGCGGATTCCTTTGGCTTTAAATGTTGGCAGCTACAGGTTCCAAACAAAACATGTTTGTGGGTCAGCGTCATTCCCTGGGCCAGAAGTTCGCAAACCCACGTCTGTAAGATAAAGCCTACAGGTCCTGGCCTGGCATCCAGGCCTCGCCTGGTCTGTTTCGGAGTGCCTTCCTCCTCGCTTCCCCCGTTTAGTGTGTTCTGAGAAGTTCTTAAGACGTTTCGCCATCTCCCTCTCCTCTGCCGGTCCTTTCTGGTCCAGTCTTAACTCACTCCTCACGTCTAGGCTCACGCCCAAGGCGGGGAACTTCCCCTGTGTCTGTTTGGCTCAAGCCCTTGTTGCCTTGTCTTTCTAACCTTGGGAATGAACCTCGAGTTCCCTGTTCTACCCGTTCCTTTGTTGGCTGGGGCCACCATCAGTCCCACCTGGGTCCCTGTGGCATCCCGCTAACAACCATGCCTCTGTGTCTCCCTGCCTTCCCCTGCTGTCCTTTCTGGCTGCCAGGGGCCTTGGCCAAAGCGGGACACTGAGCACGTCACGCCCTGATTCTATTCTCGGACTTTCCCGCTGTGTTAGGGGATAGCTCCATAACCTGAGCCTTTGAGCCTCATTTCTTATTTCTGATCTTCCCGGACCTTTCACTCCAGCAGTCTGTTCTGCAGCATTTCCTGCCCTTGACCCTTGCTGTTCCCTCTCCTCGGAATGCCTTTGCCCGTTTCCTCACGCCCCAGTCCAACCCATCCTTCAAGGCCCAACTACATTGCCACCTCCTCCCAGAAGCCTTCCTTGATCTCTTCTGATCAGAAGTGGTGTGTTTCTACCCTGTCTCTCACCGGGGCACTTCTCGTTAGAGCTGCCTGGTCCATGCTCATCTGCCACGAGGTTAGGAACTCTGGGAAGTGGACCTGTCCCTAGGCTCTCCTAGCCAAGCCCGAGCTTCTAGGAAACAGGGTTGATGTTGGTGGTGAAACTGTCAGGATGGGGCTAGGTTATACCTCAGAAATGAAAACCCCACAAGTTAAAAAAAAAAGCAATCTTGGTATAGAACCCACAAAAGTTCATTTCTCAGTCACATGACATGCGCATTGTGGGTCAGCTAGGGACTCCACTCTGCTCTGGGCCCAGGCTACAAGCAGCCATGGTAGGGAATGCTGCCACCCTGTGTCAAAGGGAAAGAAAATGCTAAGGGGACTCACCCTGGCAGTTAACCTGCTGCAATCTGCTGTGAGCAGTGCTAGTTCCATGCAGTCCTGGGCCGGAACTAGTGCCGTGGCCAGCCCAACCTGGGGGAGGCCGGCAAAGGCCATGCTAGCACGTGACAGGAGAAGGATGAGCCCGAGATACTCGGTGAAGAGCGTGAGGGACTTAGCCCAGTACCCATCGAGAGAAGACTCTCTTCAGGGGCCTGTGTCTGGTCTTCGTCCATCAGTGTTCATTCCCCAAGGCTGAGGGCTGTCAGCGACCAGATGTGTTTGTTCACTGTGGAGAGGACATGTCCTTGTTCACATGGGGTGAGGGTCCAGGGGTGTTTTAAGATGCACTGGACCCAGTAGCTGTTTATGCCCTTCACGAGGAGCTGCCCAGAAGGGTAGTTGAATTTGAATCCTGGGATGGAGCTGGCAGCCTGGATTCAGCAGGGAAAGCCTGGAGCAGCCTTGCTGGGGACATGTGGGGAGCCCGCCCTGGGCTAGCTGCCTGCACAGTGAGAGCCTCAGGGCCTTGGCCTCCTGCCAGTCATCAAGCTGCTTTCCCTTGGCCTCGCTGTGCCTTAGTGTCTTCTTCCGTTAAATGAGGCGTGCTCCCTGTCCTGGCTGCTGGCGGGGTGTGGGAATCACGGGAGGAAGTGGAAGGGAACACTGTTGTGCCTTGAGAACGAACTCGTCTCCTCGGATTGGGAGTGAATCCAGGCTCTGTGGCCCACTAGCTGTTCTACCTTGGGCAAGTTACTTGACAACTCTGTGCCTCAGGTTTCACTATTGCAGATTCATTGGGCTATTTGAGGATTCAATAAAAATGATCTTTGTAGCTGAAACCGGTTTGGCTCAGTGGTAGAGCGTCGGTCTGCGGACTGAAAGGTCCCGGGTTCAATTCCGGTCACGGGCATGTACATTGGTTGCGGGCACATCCCCAGTAGAGGGTGTGCAGGAGGCAGCGGCTCGATGTTTCTCTCTCATCGACGTTTCTAGCTCTCTACCTCTCTCCCTTCCTCTCTGTAAAAAATTAATAAAAATGTATTTTTAAAAAATGATTTTTGGAAAGCGCTCAACGTTGTACTTAGTTAGCTATTGTTAGTACTGGTGTTAATAGTTAAAAAAAAATATTTCTGCGTTTGTCCAAGTGTAAGAGATAAGCCGGTGTGACAGAGAGAAGAAACGGGATGGAGAAGGAACTTGTGGATGAAGTCTCAGAAGACAGGGTTTCTAATGGAACCTCAAGTTTTCTCATCTGAAAACTAACGGATCCAGTCCCTCGTGCTCCTTCCAGTACGGCCTCCCGAGAACTCAGGAACTTTTGAGTATCTTGTGAAGTTACCTGCTTTTGGCACACCCTTGTGAAAATGTGTAAAAGCCAATGACAAGTTAAGAAATGGAACCACCTTTTTAATGGAGCCCCTACCAAACAGGCCCAGGGCGCCCCCTGCTGATCGTGGCCGCTCCTCTCGCATCCATCCACCCTGATCTTCCTTGAGGGTATAGTTTCTGCCAAGGGTCAGGCTCAGAGGAATGTGGCTTGGCCTCAGCACCAGGAAAGAAAAGCATTTAACAACGGCAAAACACACACACACACACACACACACACACACACACACACACACACACATCAATGTTAGAATTGAACTCATCTAATCACAGGACGGCAGGTAAATGTTACCTTGTGGGCCAAGTCCAATTGCTGCTGGCTCATTGGTGTCTGTGTTGAAGCTTCTAAAGGGAGGCAGGATTGATTGTTGATGTCTGCCATGGCTGTGGACGTGGGTGGTGGGGCTACACATGCTATAGACGTGATGCCCTCGTCCCCTTCATCTTAGAGAAGGGCAAAGGCCTGTGGAAAGAAAGAGCTGCCCTGAGGCACACAGCAGGTCCCTGACTTTTCTTCCACTTTGTGGAGGCCCTGCTCCACCTCACAGTCCCCCCCCCCTCCCCCCGCCCACTCACTTCTGGAAGGGAAAGACCCCCGGGGTCTCATCTGGGGTGGGGTGCTGGGTATGGGTAGAGCCATCCCTTTAAATGAGCCTGTGCCACGAGGCCAGACGTCGAGGAGCTAACATGTTCCCAAGTCAGTCGGCAGGGGAGAGCAGGGCTCTGAGGGCAGTGGTCGGCAAACTCATTAGTCAGCAGAGCCAAATATCAACAGTACGAATGAAATTTCTCTTGAGAGCCAAAAACCAACTTCTGCGCATGGGCCACGAAGTTTCAGTTGCACTGTATGTGTGCGCCCACACGTGGTATTTTGTGGAAGAGCTACACTCAAGGGGCCAAAGAGCCGCGTGTGGCTCGAGAGTCGCAGTTTGCCGACCACTGCTCTGGGGAGCCAAGGGCCTCCTGAGTGCCATGCTCATGGCTCGGAGCCGGGCTCTGTTGCTGAATAGAATAGCAGTCCTGGTGGGTCACCCGTGCTGTGCCATGAGGGAACCTCCCATTTGCCTTCTCTCGGAGCTCCATCCCCTTGTCCATCCCCGCCATGACCTCACAGCCATCAGACGAGCAGTGCTCCCAAGGACACAGATACTCTCCGAGGCACTCCCCATGGATGAGCCCAGGTCACAGGCACGTGGGTGGCATTTGGCAGCTTCTCGGACTGGGAGAGTCAGAAAGGGTGCCGGTGCCCGGGAGGCTGGCTGGCTGCCCGGCCTCCTACCTCCCTGCTGCCACCCCAGTGCCGAGAAGGGCGCCCCTCACTCTTAGAAAGCACGTCTCTGCCGCTGGTATGGGGCTTAGGGGCAAGACCTTGAGCTTCCTTGTTTAGCGAGAAGAGCAGGGATCACACTGACGCTGACAGTTTTGTGGGATAAAGCCGGAAGTGAGCTGGCAGCTGCCTGCTCCCTCCTGACGAGCCGCAGGCAGACGTCTGCACAGCAGCCCAGAGGAAGGGCGGGACCACACGGGAGGTTTCAGGAGCTCCTCTGTGAGGGGCGCTAATACACAAGGGGCGACCACGCTGCTCCCCAGGTCCACATCCATGGCATCGCTGGTGGATCACTTGACTTCGGTGGTGAGGACAAAGCAAGCTGGGTTTGCAGCGATCAGGACCTCCAGCCCACGGGACAATTCGTGGCTCAGAGGGAGAAGCATGCCCATCGTGGGGGGGTCAGAATGTCTACCAAGCAGCGGGTGCTCTGCTCTGTGCTGCGAGGCTCTTGGTCCTTCACCCAGAGAGGTCACAGGGGAAGGAGCCCAGGGAGAGGGAGCCCCCGGTGCCTGGAGACCTGGTGGGTGGTCCAGGGCTTCCCTCGTGCAAGTGGCCAGCTGGGCTCTTCCTCAGGGGAGGGATGTGGGCCAACTGATTATTTCCAGAGCGTTAACTCACTCAGTGTAGGGAGGAGCTCATGGCAGAGCTAAGGCTATTTGTATGGGGATGGGGGCTGTGGGCCAGGGAGATGCTAGAATCTCTTAAGTATTTTGGTGGAAGGGGATGGGGCAGACACATTCCAAGCAGCCCCAGCCAATAGGAGGTAGTTACCAGGAGGTGATTTCCACTCAGTAAAAGGAAGGACTTTGTGATGATGAGATCCATAACCGGATATAGATCTGTGAGGGAGGGAGTCCCCTGGAGGTGGGCAAGCAGAGAGGGTCCCTCTAGGGGTGCAAGAGGGGGAGTCAGGGATCTCCTGGGAAAATGGCCCCTGCAAGGAAGTTTCTAGATAGCGAGCAGCGAGCTGTGAGCACCAAGGAGTGAAGGGCTGCCTGAGAAAGAGGGGCAGTAGGGAGAGGAGGAGGGAGGAGGAGGAGTATGAGGGGGGAGGAAGAGGAGGAGGAGGAAGGGGCCTTGGCTCTGGAAGGAGCAGCAGAAGAGCAGACAGCCATCCAGACAAGGCCACGTGGGCTCAGTCTGTGACAAGCCCAGCTGCCAAGGTGCCAGGGCCTGCTTCAAAGGGCCAGCTGATAGTTCGTTTCCTGTTTCAATAGGCTGTTGGCAGGGCTTGGTGCCCGAGCGTGCCAGAACTAACACTCAGCTCTTTGCTGAGCCACCCAGAAAGGAGGGGTTTGGCCACCCTCCCAGGAGCATCTTGTCTCTGCTGAAGACTCTTCGTTGGGATGTCCAAGGTGGGAAGGGAAGCCCAGTTGGAGGGTCCCTATTGGAAAAGGCCCTAAGGCTCTAAGCCAAGAGTGTCTGCCCAGCTATGGGGCCTTGGACAGAGCCCTCAACCTCTCTGAGCCATACTGTCTTGGTTGATCAGTGACTCTAATAGAATCTGCCGGTAGGTTCACTGGGGCAGAGTGAAGTAATAGGCTTGGGAGTGTTTTTTTAAGGAGGACAGGGGAGCATTTGAGATTCTGCTTCTCGGCATGTCACCAGGTAGCTCAAACAAACTTAAATAATCGATTATTTTTTTTTAAAAAGGGGAGGGGCAAAAATGCAAAGCAGATACCAGTGGGATTAGCCGAAGCCTCAGATACATCTGGGGTTACCCCTGGAATGAGAATCTAAAGGACCTATGGCTTCACACTCTTTTTGTTCAGTGTCTCCTACAAGAATTTTAAATCTTTTTTTTTTAAATATAGTTTATTGATATTTTTACAGAGAGGAAGAGAGAGGGTTAGAGAGTTAGAAACATAGATGAGAAAAATCATGGATCAGCTGTCTCTTGCACATCCCCTACTGGGGATGTGCCCTTGACCAGAATCCAACCTGGGACCTTTCGGTCCGCAGGCCGACGCTCCATCCATTGAGCCGAACCGGTTTTGGCAACTCCTACAAGAATTTTGAGAAACGATATTCTCTTTCACACTTTTGTGTTGACATCTAACATTCTAATCCAACTACGTAATCACACAGGGTATAATGTCTGGCATATGGTGTAAAAACGTGGCCTTTGAAATAAAACTGTGAACCACTCTTTTAAATGTAGCCAAGATAACCCAAACCCCATTGCTGCCTGCATCTGCCGTCATCCATTTACGAAGCCTACGAGCAAGGCCCATCTTTAACAGTCACAAATGTTACATCTTTCCTTTTTCTCCTTGAACTCATATTTCCAGTCCACTTCCCTCACAGGGTTTTACCCTGATGTAATACATTTTTTATGCTTGAGAGTCTTTTATTGATCACTGTTTCACACTCATCTCCCACAACAAGATGTATGTAAATTGAAATTGAAATTTCTTTAAAAAAAAAATATGTTGGGATCATAAAGCTCTATATTTTAAAACATTTTTTCCCCTCAGATCAAGTTGTTATCAACATACAATTTGCCAAAAGACAAATTTAGAGCGATCGTAAACGTGCAAGTAAAATGTTACCGAAAACACACCTTTTCATAAAAACGGATGGGCTTTCTGTTTCAATTGGTTCATGTTTCTGTGAATTAATATTTCTTGTATGTTGAATGAGACAGGATTCAGCATTAACTTAATTCCCCTGTTTCGGCTTTCATACCTGCGAGTGCTTAGAAAGCTTGGTCACATAAATCAGGAGGCGGGGAGGGGTGGCGGGTGTGTGTATTAGCAGCGTCACTTAGTTCTTTAACTCCAAGGTGTCTGTCCAAAATGACATTTGGGCGTCTCATCAGACGTTATTTTTAATGGTCTCTCCCCTGACAGCTCCATTAGATCTTCGGTTTTGTGGAGAGCTAAGACTTGGAAAGCACTGGAATGACAAGAGGAATTGTTCCCCGTCACGAGACCTGATTCCTAAGTCTGACACACGATGTTTCAGATCTTGCCTTTGCTGGGAGCCCTGAGGTGATAGCCGCCCGTGGAGGACACGTGTGGTGGGATTGGGTGGATGACAGAGTGGTCATGTCACCCAGCTGGTATGGCTCAGGGCTTGAGCATTGATCAACCTATGAACCAGGAGGTCATGGTTCAATTCCTGGTCAGCTCAGGGTACATGCCCAGGGTGCAGGCTACATTCCAAGTGAGGGGTGTGCATGAGTCAGCCAATCGATGATTCTCTCTCATCCCTGATGTTTCTATCTGTCCCTTCCTCTCTGAAATTAATAAAAACATATTAAAAAGAATTGTCTTGCCTGTAATGTGGGAGCAGGTGAAGGTGAAGGTGAGAGGAGAGGAGGAAGGAGAAGCAGAGGAGGGGGCCCCCTGCCTGCTGCCACTGCTCCGTCATGTTGCTTTTAAGAAAAGGACACGTGGAAGTGTTTTAACCGGCCTAGGCTCCCACATCCACAGGGGATTTGCACTCTACTCGGAAGACCCTGGTTCAGAGGACATTTGGTCAGAGGCCAAGCCCCAGGGACCCTCCGGAAACCCACTCATCCACGACTACCTCTCCTGTCCCCTGTCCCCGGCCCACCCTGAGCTGGCTCCTGTTGCATCCTAGAACCCAGCAGCTGGCTCCTCCTTGGCATTTGATCTGCAAGCAGTGGCCGCCGTGATGCTCTGAGCTGAATACAGGCCTGCCCGTTGTGAGGGGCCATGCTCTCTGCCCCCACTTGTGTCTTTCTTTTCTCCTTCCTCTCTCTGGAGTTCTGCCTGCTGCATCTTGTGTGCCCTGAGGCGTGACTGAGCTTCTCTGGAGCTGGCTGGGTGCAAATGATGGCGCTGAGGGTTGCTCCCCACGTTCTCGTCCTCAGGAGACCTCTGCCTGGTGGTTTCTCCTTCCATGGCCTCAGGATGACCCTGCTGGGCCCTGCTGCCTCTTCGCTTACTGGGGACCAGACGGCCAGTGGACCAGCCCTGCCCCTTGAGCAGAGCTAGCAGTTCCCGGAGGCATCCCCGCAGGCCCTGGGGCCTCCTGGCTGCCTGTCTGGGTGCTGGCTGAGCGGTCCCTTTCTTGCCTGTTTTCCAGGGTCCTATGAGTGTGGAATCTGTGGCAAGAAGTACAAGTATTACAACTGTTTCCAGACCCACGTGCGTGCACACCGAGGTGAGTGGTGTGTCCTTAGGCAGAGTCGGGGGACTCCTTGTCCTCTGCCTGGTTTTTCACTTGGGCCCCTCCTGGGTGACTACAGAGGCCCTGCGAGCCCCAGGCTTCTCATTCTTTCTGCAGTAGGAGGGAGACCCCAGGGGGAGAAGGGGAGCTTCCTTTACTTGGGGTGGGGGTGGGAGGGGCAGCAGGACATGCCTCCAGACTTCTGCCACCAGTGCCTCCTGCCTGCTCCTCACAGACCTGATTTCTCCCAGAATGCTTTAGTGCTCCCCACTACAGCCCTGAAGTGTGGCGGGACGGGGGGAGGGGGTAGCAGGGGGGGTGTGTGTGTGGCGGGGGAGGGCTCTCCATTCTGAAGATGAGGACACTGAAACTGAGGGGGCAGGGGGCTGGTGCCTGACACTCCCTGAGCCTGGCAGACAGGGAGAGGAGGCTGGGTCAGGGCCTTGACTGATGGGCAGGGAAGAACCGAGAGGCTCAGTTCCTTGCATTCTGCATTGGAGAGGGTACCCCTGGGCGTGTTGTAGTGTACTCACCTCCTTCTCATTCATTCCCTCCCCCCTCCTCCTCCCCCTCTGCCTTTTCTCTTGCAGACACTGAAGCCACCTCCGGGGAGGGAGCCTCCCAAGGCAGTGAGTATCTTCCCTCCTTGTGGGCTTCTGGGCCGGGGGTGAGAGACCCAGGGGTGGAAGAAGATGCTCTTATCCCCCCCAATCCCCCATCACCAGGAGGTCCCACGTGGCTTCTGGGAGATACATTTTTTATGGTCCAGGCTTTGGGGCCAGTGTGTCCTTAGGAAGTTGGACGGACTTCAGAACAGCCTTTCCCAAAGTGTGTTCCGAGACATAATCGGGGTTCTGTCATGAAAGGGTTCTCTGGCCACACAGCCTGGGGAAACCTTGTGCCTTGCGAAGAGGAACACATTCTTGCTGTGACTTCCCAGGGTCCTTTGCTGGCAGGGGCGCCCAGGCACCTCCAGGAGGGCCCAGCAGGTGCAGTTGCCTCTGTTCTGTGGCTCCCACTCCTGGATCTGGGGCTCCATGGCCGATGTTTGGGAGCTCCCGCTTCAGAGTTATCTCCTGAGCACCCGTGGGCACCGGCCACTGGGGTGCGGGGTCCCAAGCCCGGGATGTGCAGGGCCATGACCTCTGGGGACAGGGTTCTGCTTTGCTGTTCACAGGCCCTGTAAAGCCCTGGGTCCTAAGAACATGCCCCCTGAGGCACTTCCCCATTCTCTCTCTCTCTCTCTCTCTCTCTCTCTCTCTCTCTCTCTCTGTCTCTCTCTCATTCTTACCCGTGATAGGCAGGCAGGCCTGAGGCTACTCCTCCTGTTTTTGGAGGGAGAATGGAGGCTCAGGTTGGCCAGTACCTGCCAGAGGGCCTGGCCTTCCTCTCCAGCCCCGCCTCGCCCCAGCCTGCCCTACCTCCCTTCCCCCCACTCCTTCTCCCTCAGTTGCTCCCTTCCTCTCCATCTCCCATGGTCTGCTTGTGACCAGTCACCCATTTAAAGATCTTCCCCGTTTATCTGTCCTCCCTCGGCTATTCCAGGCCCCTGGCCGCCCCGGCAGCCCCTCAGGGATGTGTTGTGTTCCGTCTGGCTTCCGCTGTTGCCGCGGAACGACTCTGTTGCCGGAGCTGTTTTCAGTCCTTCCCTCACTTTTCCCTTCCTCCCCATAGCCATGTGCTTTATTTTATTTCCAGTGCTATACCCCTACCCTGACCCAGGCCAGCAGTGTCTGCTCAGAGAGTCTGGCTTCCTCCTACGCCAGCCTCGTCACGGGAGCCCGGCCACGGAGCCCGGCAGAATAGCATTCCAGCCTTCCCATCCTGCAGACCGGGCTCCTGCGTCCCAGAGAGGAGCCATACCGCTGGATGGGGGTGGAGGTGGGCGTAGAGACCAGGTTCCACACCTTTAGTCCAAGCATCTTTCATTTGTTGGTTAGAAAAACTGTACAGTCACACCTAGAGGCATCTACCCACTTACCCATCTCTCAAAGGAGAAAACAAAAGGTTAACTCCACGTCCAGGTCTTTGCGCACTCATACTGTGGCTGCTAGCAGGACTGGTCCTCCCCAGGCTCTTGGACTGAGGGCCTCAGTAGCTCACCAGCTGCTCCCCCGAGGCTGTCCCTGGTCTATGGGGCAGCTCACAGCACGTCCACTAAGGAGAGCGAGCTAGTGTGCGCTGGACGGGTCCTGTCCTCTGGCTGATCTCAGAGTGGTTCCGTCACTTCACCGCGTTCTCTTCATTAGACGCAAGTCGTTGAGTCCTGCCAGGCTCCAGGGGAAGGAAACACCCAGGACATGAACACCAGGAGGCCAGGGTCATTTGGGAGCCATCTCTGAGGCTGCCTACCACTGGCCCGCCTAGCTGTGGGGCTTGGGGCTGGTCCCTCTGAGCCTCAATTTCCCTGTGAGGATGTAGTAACCCTCAGATGCAAGGACTAGTGGATACAGAGGGAGGTGGGGCCAGTTAGGAGCTCAGCTCACAGGAGGTGGGGTTGGGGGTTGATCTGAAAGTCACCTCAGGGCTTCCCGGCCTCTCTGTGTAGGGGATCCCTGACACCCCAGAACTGGTTCTCTGTGGAGTCACCAGATGGGGCCAGTCTGAGCTTTTCTTTTCTTTGGTTCCTGAGGCCATGAGCTGCCCCCCCCAACCCCATCCCACGTGACTGAAGCCCTGGTGACCACGTGTTGTCTTTCCATCCCCCCCACAGACAATTTCAGGTACACGTGCGACATCTGCGGCAAGAAGTACAAGTACTACAGCTGCTTCCAGGAGCACCGAGACCTGCACGCGGTGGATGGTGAGCCAGGCCCCTCCTCCTGGGGAGGGAGTCCCATAGAGAGACCCCCAACGCAGGGCCTTGTCTCTGGCCCCTCCCCTCCCTCCAACCCCCCCTTCTTCCACCTATCCAGAGGAAGGTCTTGCAGTAGCCAGACCATGAGGGGCGTGCCCAGCCCCTGAGGATCCTGGAGAGGAAAGGTCTCCATCACATTCCATACATACTTCTGAGCAGGGGAACCCAAACAAAATTGCCAGCTTTGTAAGATCAAAAGCAGTCGCATACCCACAATTTTATATCAATTTATTACATGAATTTCATATTGAGTATTCACATGCTCTGGTGAAATTAAACCAATTTTTAAAAATGAAGGATGGTGTTTTAGTGTCTTAGATTATAGCGTTAGGAATTAGATCAATAAATTTAGGTAATTTGTTTTTGGAATCGGGAGAATCCTAGAAATAGGGTCTTGGGTCTGGGAGGATCTTGGGGCTCCCTCCGGAGCCGCACACCCCCAGCCCATCTCCAGCTGTGACAGCCCGGCTTCCCACCTCCTGGCTCATCCTTCTCCTCGCCTCCTTTTCCCTCTACTCCCGGTCTCTCTCTTCCTCCTGCCCTGGCCCTCCAATGGGAGCTAGGCCCTGCCGTGGGAGGGAGAGGCGTGGAGACACAGGCTGTGTCCTGTTGGGACGCACCCTCCTGTGGCCGCTGGTTTTCTGGGCCTGCACACTGGCCAGGGCCGCACGGGCAGAGGCAGCTGTGGGCGGGGACTAACGGGACTCCTGTTTGCTTTTTCCCTCCTGCGGCTGCTGCCTCCTGCCCCGGCGCAGTGTTCAGTGTGGAAGGAGCCCCTGAGAACCGGGCAGGTACGTACTTGGTGGCCAGCCCCCCTCCCTGGTCCCCAGCTAGACTCCCGAGACCTGGTGACCAGGGCACTGAGGGCCGTGTGTGTTCTCCCGCAGATCCCTTCGACCAAGGCGTCGTGGCCGCTGAAGAGGTGAAGGAGGAACCCCCGGAACCATTCCAGAAAATTGGGCCAAGTATGCGGGCCTCTCCTTGGGGTGGGGGTGGGGGCTGGGTGGGGAGACAGGCGGGGGCTGGCTGAGGATGGCAAGGTGGGTTTCGCTGCTGGGAGAAGGTGGCATTGCTTGCCCGGCAGTAACGCCTGGCTAGCGAGCCACTGGCCTTCTTGCACCTCACTTTGCCTGCCAAACGGGCCAGTCGGTATTGAGAGGTAGCTTTTGGGAAGCAGGGCAGCTCAGGGTCCAGGTCAGAGCAGTGAAGGCGGCACCTGGTTGGTGCGCTGGCAGTCTGTTAGCCGTCCTGAGCCTCGGCTCCTCACCTGTGGCATGAGGGTGACATTTCCCCGCAGGTTTGTTGGGGGATTAAATGAGATCGTGGCTATCAATCACCTGTTCATTAGCACAGTGCCTGGTACATAATAGGTGCTCGGAAAACAACTTGTTACTGTCACCGGAAGGGGTTTCTCAGCCAGGGGAGCTGTCCAGGGGAGCCAGAGGCAGACAATCTGTCCTTGTTTTAGAAACTCCCGAGGCAGGAGCCACGCACGTGAGCACCCCTTTAGTGAGTGTTGTGGGGCGCAGCAGTGAGCAAGACAGATGGGGCCCTCCCTGTGGGGAATATGGGGGGAACCCGCAAGTCAGTAAGGAATGGTTACAGCATACTACAGCGCGGGCGGCTGCGGGTGCCAGGGGTGCCTGACCAGCCTTGGGATCCATGAGGCTTCTGAGTGGGGGCCAGGGTGGGGATGAGCGCTTGTACCCCCCTCGAAGGCAGGAGAGCCGCACTTTTCTGGGAATAGAAAGGCCAGTCGATTCTGAATTCAGGTCTTGGAGAGGCTCGCATACCCAACGAAGTTCTTTAGACCGAAAGACCTAATCCTGAGGGGCGTGAGCTGAGCCGGGAAAGTGCACTACATGGGGAAGGGACTTCGTTCAACCTTCATTTTGGGAGGACCATTTTGGCTGCGTGGAGAATGGACTGGTGGTGGTGGGGAGGGTCTCACAAGTGAGACTGGTCCAGCCCCTCAAAAATGTACATTTACTTCCTGTGCCTGTCCTGTTCCCGGCAAGGAAGGCTTCCGTGGGCTCTGCCTCGTCGCGCTAAGGACGAAGGCAGCCTGTGAAAATATACACACAGACATAGAGCGAAAGGAAGTGGAAATCGGAGGGAAGGGAATCGAGGGAACTTCCACGGTGAAGCCGCTTGGTCCCAGGCTTTTAGGCAGCATTGCTGGGTCCCTGGATGCCTTTTCTCCCTCCTTCCTCACAGGGGATAATTCCCTGCTTGATTTTTGCTCTTAAACTCTCAGGAAACTGCAGATGTGATAATATCTGTAAAAATGGTTAGCACTGTGCTTGTCATATGCATAGTAAATGTTCAGTAAACAGTGACATTTAAGTAATTTTGAAGATAGAATGATGAAAACCACAACACAAACACTGCCAGAAGGTAGATTGTGGGAGATCCAGATGTGACGCAGACCTGTGCTAGAACAGATACAGGACAGGGGGGGGGGGGGGGTCGAAATACAGCACTACCCTTCCATGTCTGCGTTATAATTATGAAAATTGGCTTTGTAATCCAACAGGCTCCGGTTTGAATGCTGGCATCACCAGTTTACTAGCTGCTTACCCGCTCTGAGCCTCCTTTGACTCCTCTGTAAATTGGGACAAGAATGGCGATCTGTTCTGCAGGATGCATGGGCCAGCACCTGGCTCATATTCAGGGCATCACATGTGAGCAGTGCTGCCAAGGGATAGTTGAGAGTGAGAGCTTAAGAGCCATCCCAAGTAGGAATCCCAGCTCTACCCCTAATCACCCTGGGACATCCTGCAAATACTGTAATCTCTCTAATCCACCATTTCCTTAATTCTAAAATGCAGTGATGACAATGGAACTCCCCTCTCAGGATTGTCATGGAGATTAGCTCAGATTATACTTCTAAAGGGATTAGTCCTTAACACTTACACGGAAGTATTAAATAAGGGGTCCCTATTACCCGGAAGGTGCAGAACAAGATGAACCTTTTTCTATGCTTCGATGACTAAGCCTTACTGCAGCCCGTGCTAGGACCTGGGAGGAATTGTCACAGATGATGCAGAGGCAGTACCGAGTTGCATTGAGAAAATTGAACTGAGTTTGACGTGTTCATCCCTCCCCCCATTCCTCTCCCTACTTCCCATCCCCCACCCCGCTGCTCCCAGCTTGGCACCATTGAAGTGAGGCTGCTAGAATAGTGTGATGCTGTCCCTTGTTACCACTCAAGAGCTGCCTGGTGAATTAAGACTGCTGCTGCTTGGGCTCCTGACATTTCTTACAAGCAGGCCGATGCCACAGAACCCTAAGGCTGATGAGGCGTAGAATAAGAGGAGCCAGTAGCAGCATGACGCGCTGTGAAGGGTCTAGTTGTCACAAATAGCGGTTGTAGATTGGGAGAGGAAGAAACCTGGCAGCAGTGCATGCTGGGAAGTATGCCTTCCCCATCCACATCAGCTGAGCAAATTAGAGAGTTAGGTACTTGAGGAGGAAGCCAAAGCCATGGCAGAGCAGAGGCGTCCTGCATGGTGAGGGGTCCTGTGTGCCAGCTTGCTCTCCAGCTCCAGATCTGAGAGTTTTTACCATGGTAATGGTCTACCATGGTAATTAGAAGATTCAGAGTAGTTCATCTGTGCCAGCGGAAACAGAGTAAGTCTGGATTTGTCTTTAGGTTACTTGATTTTTATATGTGGATAAGGAAGACTAACTTGGAAAACAAACAAACAAACAAAACCATGGGGAGCTATAAAATTCCACATCACAAGTAAAAGATAATTTAGGAGACTAAGGGGAAGAGCATACCTCCAAAAATGATTTACTGCAAAATCTAGATGAAAATTCTGTCTGGCAGCCACAGTTGATTATAAGAGAATGTGCCCTGTCTTGGGCTACTTGGGCTGCTTTAACAGTGCTTAACAGAAATTTATTTCCTCACAGTTCTGCAGGCTGGTAGACCAAGATCAGAGTGCCAATGTGGTTGGGTTCTTTTGAGATTATTTTTGGCCAAATACCATCACATTGGAAGGTGGCATGTGAACATCTGAATTTGTAGAAGACACAATACAGTTCATAGCATGAACCCTGTGAAAAAGGAGCCCCAAGTTTTATGGTGAGAAAGCAGCAGGATAAGATGAAAGGGCAGAGAGAGAAGTGTGAGGAAAGGAAGGATTGCAAAGTAGCTGAAAATATAAGAACAGAATTAAAACTTCCACTGCAGGTAGTAAAGAGTAGAGTCAGTCCATGGAAATGAATTAATGATGTGAAGGACAGATTTGAACAGATGAGATAAGAGGGAAAGTAAATATGGAGAATGGGGAACCAGTTCCAGATCATTGATGATATTGTACCAGTGGGACAGAAGCATTACTGTAAAGGTATAATAGAAGAAAAATTTGCTCAACTGAAGGAAGGCCTGTGTATGTAGGTTTTAAGGGCTTGTCTTATGTCAGGTAGAGGCAGTATAAGGAGATCCCTAACTAAATATATCTTAGTGAATTGTCAAAACTATACATATACATATAAAAAGAAAAATTGTACAGCCATCTAAATATTTTTAAAAAGCAAGCTATATACAAATGGATCCAAAATGGACATGTCTCAGTCTTTTCTGCAATACTAAGTGCCAAAGATAATGAAATCATTTTGAAGGGAAAAAGTTATAATTTAAGGATTTTATATCTAGACAAGCTGTGATGTATGTGTAAAGGAAAAAGCCAGATCTCAAAAACATATCTTCTATGTCCCCATCCATAATCAGGAAATTACTTGAAGTTATTCTCTATTGAGTAGAACACACTTAAGGGCTTCAGTATGAGGAAATAATTCGCAGTATTGCAATATAACAAAATAATAAGCAATAAAGCCGGTTAAACTAGAAGTAAGATTAAAATGTAGCACCTGGTTTCATGGCTCAGTAGTTGAGTGTCAGCCTATGAACTAGGAGGTTATGGTTCAATTCCCAGGCAGGGCACATGCCCGGGTTTCAGGCTCTATCCCCAGTATGGGGTGTACAGGAGGCAACCAATCAATGATTCTCTCATCATTGATATTTTTATTTCTCTCTCCCTTCCTCTCTGAAATAAATTTAAAAAAATATTTATATATATATATATACACACACACACATGTGTATATATACATATATAATGTAATTCTGATTGTAAAAATTAATGCAAAAGACAAGAATTATCATAAAATATTAAAAAATTAGTTTAAAAACACAAGAAGGCAGGAATAGTAAGGGATACAGTAAAGGTCGGTTAAACCAGTCCTGCTCCTAGTGTGGTCCCCCGAGCAGCAGCATCTCCTAGAAGCTTACTACAAGCGGAAATCTGTAGGTCCCTCGCCAGGCCTGTGGAATCAGAACCTCTGGGTGGGGCCCGGCAATCTCTGTTGTAACAATTTCTCTAGATGATTCTTAGACATGTTCAAGTTTGAGGAGCACTGAGTTAAACTCCCTTCTCAATGGCAATAGATATGAAAATATCATTTCCTGCTTGATTATGACATTTAGAGAAATAATATCTTATACACTGTCTAAAACAATGGAGAATGTTGGGAAATAATTGAATATTGGAGGATAATGGAAATGCAAAGAAAAAATTCCATGCATCAAACAACTGAAATTTTGTTGGTTCAAGTTGAACAAACCAGAAGGGTGAAGCAAAGGAAAAAAAAGATAATCATAAAACAAGTGAAACCAAGTCAGATATAGCCATCAAAGCAAAAGGCATGATCTCCTTTATTAAAAGACAAAGGTTCTCAGGTTAATTTAAAATAATCCAATTATTAATTATTAATGCCTTATTAGAGACATGCCTAGTTAATTCTTTATCTTTTCTCTTTCTCATGAAACTCTTTGCTGCTTCCTTAACTAAATTGGTTTCCCCATTAGAATTTTCATAGCACTGTGAATATCTCCTTTAAGAGCACCCACCGCCATGGTTGCAGTTATAAATGGGCATGATCATTTTATTTTTCTGTCTCTTTTTCCAGACTAAGCTCCTTGAAGGCAGGAGCCATAATTTTTTGCTCAACATTTTTGTGCCAGCATTTGGTGCAGTATCTGTTTAATGAATGAAAGCACAGATATCTCTAGGCACATGCAAACATGTAGAAAAGAGAATCTGATGAAGTATAATAATTACCAAGAATTAATAACATTCATGCCAGGCAAACTAATAAAATGTGGTTCTTAAACATTCCCGAGAATTAGAATTTTCTAAGGGGTCTATGAAAACATGGGTTGCTGGATCCCATCCCTAGAATTCTTCTTTCAGTCTGTCTTGGTTAAGTCCTGAGAATTTACAATAAATTCCCAGGTGGTGCTGCTGCTGCTGCTGGCCAGGGACCTCACTTTGAGAAGGACCGCACTACAAAACAGGGCAATCTTAACAAGGGGCACCATTTGCAATGAAGATTTGGATCCCTGATTCTTATTATTAACATTATTATCAACATTATTTTAAACTAGAGGCTCGGTGCACAAAATTCATGCATTGGGGAAGGGTGTTCTTCAGCCCATCCTGCATCCTCTCAAATCCAGGAGCCTTGAAGGCTTAGATCCACTCCCTGTGGTCCTCTGCTCTCTTCAAGGCCTGGCTGCTCCACACCCACTACCCAGAGGCTCTCTGAAACCCAGAGGCTCTCCACAGCTGGGCAGGATGCTTCATGTGTGCGTGCTGCCCAGAGGCCTTCCTGCCAGGGTGGAATGCTTGCTTCATCACAGTGGCAAGGAAGCAAGCATTCCACCAGGCTGCCCACTCTCAGCGGCTGCCCCCTCCCCAGGACTGGGGGACTCTGGCAGGGCTGAGGGGACTGGGCACTAGCATCTTGTGGCTATGGGCATCTCCATCTTTGTGACGGAGTGACGGTTAATTTGCGTATTAGCCTTTTATTAGATAGGATACACAAAATAAATGTAGAAATACCATGAAATGGGAGGATTTCTTACAGTGAGTCTTCGGCAGAGCAGGTAGACAAATAAGATTACATAGGGATCCCGGTGACCTAACAACTTTGAATCTTGCAAATAGCAAATAGATCTTTTCCAGTGTTCATGACTCAGTTACAAAAATCATTTAACTACAAGCAAATTTCAAAGTTTCTCTAGTGAGACAGAAATCCCACAAACAGTCAGAAGCCAATTTGAGCAAAAATACTTGTAACTAATATAAAGAACAAAATGTTGGTATTCTAATCTACGGAGTCTTAGTGATTTGAAAAAGGTAAGTATACCTGTGGAAACATTGGCAGTAAACACAGAGAAGTCATGAAAGAAAAACTGCAATCAGCCGAAACTGGTTTGGCTCAGTAGATAGAGCGTCGGCCTGCAGACTGAAAGGTCCCAGGTTCGATTCCGGTCAAGGGCATGTACATTGGTTGTGGGCACATCCCCAGTGGGGGGTGTGCAAGAGGCAGCTGATCGATGAGTCTCTCTCATTGATGTTTCTAGCTCTCTATCCCTCTCTCTTCCTCTGTAAAAAATCAATAAAAAAAAAATATTAAAAAAAAAAAAACTGCAATCAAACATGAAAAATAGTAAATTTCCTTGCAACTCAAAGAGGTGGAAAAGAAAATCAGCAGTGCATTATGGTTTCCTCTATCAAGTCACAACTTAAGATAATAATATCTAATGCTTGCTACCACGTATGGAAATAGTCATCTTCCTGATGGTGCTTTGGTTATCAAAAGCCTTAAAAAATGCATATCCTTCCTTTATCCCATGGAAATAATGTACAGAGATTATGCACACTAATCTTTTATTTTGCAGTGATGTGCAAAAATAATGAGCACATGTGCAAAAAAAACTACAAGGATGTGGATCGTAGCATTACTTGCTTATATAGATATATATAAGGGGAAATTTGGGGAGGCATTCTGAATGTCCCCTGATGGAGGAGACCAGCGTGGCAAATTCTAAAGTCCAGTGGGAAGCACGCAGCCAATAAGTGCAGGAGAGATCGAAGTTTATTGATTAAGCAAGATGGCCACAAAGTATTGCTGATCGAATGCACTGGGTTACAAAGAGGATATAGATCGGGGCTGCCCATTCAAGGCCCTCAGCAGCCAGTCGGATGATGTCAGTGTAAGGGGAGTGAGGGGCGGGGTCTAGGGCAAGGTGCAAGGTGCAGGTTCTCCCCAAGGGGTCGCTGCTACTCTTTGTGTTGGGGATTACAGATGATTGAAATTTCTCTTATTTTTTTTTTAATTTTGTATTTATCAATATTTTATAATTTTCCCCCAGTGAACAATATTACATCAGAAATTTTTAAGAAGAAAGAAGTTAGGCAGACCCAAAAGAGAGGTAAAAATAAAAGTCTGGTGGGACCTGAGAGGAAGAAGTGATCTCTTCTGTTGGGGGGGCATGGGGTGCTTGGGGGCAGGGAAAGGTCCTAGAGATGAGGGGACCCCAGTGTGGCCGTGGCAAAGGGGCCGGTAGAGAGATGGGCACTGGAGGTCCGCTCAGGTCACCACACATTTCCAGAGCACCGGGGCCTGAGGGTGGAGTGATGAGGGAGGACAGCGTGTGCCAGGTACTGTTCTAAGCACTTGACATAGAAATTTAATCCTCACAGCAATCCTATAAGGTGGGCCTATCATTACCCCCGTTTTACAGATAGGAAAACTGAGGCACAGAGAGGTTAAGAGATTTGCCCAAGGTCACACAGCTCCAGTTGGCAGAGCTGGGATTTGGATTTAGATAGTAGTCAACTCCAACAGGCTCCCAATTCTAGTCTGTTGTCCCCGAACGAGGAGGAGGAGTTTGGGGGGTGGGGACATGGGGAGAGCACGCAGCTGCTTCTGGATGGGAACCAGGTGCCTATTCCCACACTTCTATCTCCTTCTTGGACAGAAACCGGCAACTACACCTGTGAATTCTGCGGGAAGCAGTACAAGTACTACACACCCTACCAGGAGCACGTGGCCTTACACGCCCCCATCAGTGAGTACCTTTTGTTGTTGGGGGAGGGGTGGGCCAAGCCGTAGTGCCAGGCTCCGGGGTGTTAGTAGGGGAGGTGAAACTAAAGGTGAACTTGGTCTGGGCCAGTCTGTAGGTGTCCAGGTGTGATCTGGGGCTACCTTTGAGTCTTCCAACAGTGGATTCAGAGGGTGGGCGCCATTCGTCCGAGTCCTTCAGTGGCTCTTTCCCCACCTCCTCTAAGCACCTCCAAATCACGTTCCTGAATCCCCAGCCCTAAAGCCAGCACCATGCAGTGCAGCCCCAGTCTGAACCCACGCAGAGCTTAACCCAGACATGGCCGCTGTGCAGGACAGCTCCTCTTTGTCCTGGGTTGGTGGGAAGGGTGCGACTGGAATGCTAAGCCAGGACTCAGAGCCCTGGGTGTTAACCACGTGGATTCATAGTCTTTCATGTGACCTGGGGCAGGCGCCGTCCTGTGTCTGGCCTCCAGTTGTTCGGTTGAGAAGGGAAAAGGCTCTCAGGGCTTTTCCCACAGGGACATAGCAGCCTTCCGTTCTCCTGAGGCTGCCGATTCCCCAGTGCCACTTCTGGAGGTTGGAGCGGGCTCCCTCACCTTCCGTCCCTGGCGTATGAGCTGGAGGCCTTCAGGTCTCAACCAAAATCCAGGTGGAGGCGGGGCTTAACCAACTTCCCAGGGCAGGATGTACTCCCGATTTTGTTTCTTAGGACAGAGCTGTGCGGATCCCACTTCACAATCTCTAAATGGGGGGTCATAGGTCCAGAGACAGGGAGAGGTTATGCAAAGTCAGCAGGGGTTTAAGCTGCCTAAAGTCTGGGAGGCCCATGACCCTTCTAAAGACCTGAAAGATGCAGCACAGGCACGTGCCCCTCCCTCCCCGCCCAAGGCATTCAGATGGGCGGGAAGGTGTCCAGGACTTAGCGGACGGTGTAGGCAGCTTCCCCAGGAAGTCCTCCCTCTGGGCAGAGCAGCAGAGGTGGGGGGTCTCCCATGGGCAAGAGCTCCCATCCTGAGATCTGAACCTGGGTTAGGATTCTTGCCTGTCATGTCCCTTCTCTGGCTCAGGTTTCCCTTCTGCGGGAGCTCTTGAGGCCTTTCCAGCCCAGAGGTCTGAATTCTAGGCAGCTCCGAACCCTAGGGCAGGTAGACCAGGTGGCCCAACTAGAGGAACCTGTCCTGCCAGTGAGGCTAGGGATGTATGGGCCATCCATTTCCCACCACATGTTCTGGTCCATATTGGAGGAGGGATACAGTGTCCCCTTGGTGGGCATGACCCATCCATTTGACTAGTGATGCTGGTGCTGACGGTGGCTGGGCTTGTTTTTTAAAAGCCTAGAAAGGTGTAGTGGGTGGACGCAAGCCATGGGTGGACACATGGGCTTGAACTCCATGGCCTGGGCCCTCTGAGGATCCCTCTTTCCATGGGCCGGACTGGCAGCCATTGGTAGACATCTGTCCTGCTCCCTGGTTCCTGGAGAGGATGCTACGCAGAATGCACTTAGATGTTAGTTGCAAGGCCAGCCTGCAACCACGGTTTCAGCCTTTGGAGAGCACCTAACCTGTTGCTTCTGTTCTCGCAAATTTCCGGAATAAGGTGACTACACTCACGGGGTTAACCAGAGGTGGAGCTTGGCTTTGAACCTTGGAAAGCGATTAGGAACGTATCTGTCACTTCCAAAAGTTTGTTTGTGCCCTTTTAGAATTCCTTCATCACCACTTCCCCATCCATTCACAGACAAGCACTGATCTGCTTCCTATCACTATAGATTACTTTGCATTTTCTAGAATATTGCATATATGGAACCTCACTCTTTTCTTGTCTGTATAGGAGTGTCTGGCTTCTTTCACTCACCATAATTGTTTTAAGATTCTTCGTGTTTGCATGTATCCGTACTTCATTTCTTTAAGTTGTCAATAGGTTCTGTAGGGTTAAATTGACAAAAGAATTAAGTTCCTATAGCATATCACCAATGTTATAATGAAATGGCATTGAAAAAAATTAACATTATTCGAGGACCTACTGTATAGATACCACAATTTTTTTTTTATTCACTTATGGGTGGACGCATGGGTTGTTCCAGTTTAGAGCTAATATAAATAAAGCTGCTGTGAACATTTCTGCTCACGTCTTTGTATGGACAAATGCCCTCATTTCTCTTGGGTAAATATCTGGGAGTGGAATGGCTGGATCATACAGTAGGTGTATGTTTAACTTTTAAGAAACAGCCAAATTGTTTTTCAAAGCGATTATACCATTTTACACTCCAACCAGCAGTGTCCTTATCTTTTCGTGTAATGTTCTTGTCTAATTTGGGTATCAGAGTGATACTGGCCTTACAGGATGAGTTGGAAAGAGTATTTCCTGCATGGCGTGTCAGTTAGGTTACAGTGATTGATAATATTGTTTAGATCTCTACACCTTTCTAGGCTTTTAAAAAACTTATGCTTGTTCTACCAAATACGTAGAGAGGAGAGTTAAAATCTACAACTTTCATTCTAGTTATGTTATTTCTCCCTTTAGTTCTGTCAGATTTTGATACATACATTTTGAAACTTGTTTTTGGGTGCACACACGTGGGATCCTTATGTCAGGATGAATTGTCCCTTTTTAAATTGTTCAATGCTCTTCTTTATATCTGGTAATACGCATTGGCTGAAATCTACTTTATCTGATATTAATATAGCCACTACAGCTTTCTTAGGATTAGTGTTTGCATGGTATATATCTTTTCATCCTTTGCTTTTTACTTATGTGCGTTTTTATACTTTAAGTGCATACATATACTAGTAGTTGGTTCTCACTGCTTTATCCAGCCTGACAATCCCTGCCTTTTAAAGGAAGTGTTTAACCCATTTATATTTAATATATTATTTTGGTATGGTTAGATTTAAGTTTTTTATCTTGTTGTATTTCTATTTGTTTCATTTCTTCTTATTATTCATTTTTTTGTCTTGCCTCATTTGATATTAATCAAGAATTTTAAAGTTTTTCTTGTGTTAGCTTTCCACCTATACTACTTTTCCTTTAGTGGTTACTTTGTGGTTTATGATATATAATGTTATTGTACTATAGTCTACCATGACTTTATATCTCTTATGTTATGTGAGAACCTTATCACAGTATACTTCCATTTACTACCCTCCTGTCCTTTGTGCTATTCTTATATCATATAAGTGTTAACATATATATCATACATAATAAGTTACAACAACAATTACTTTTTGCTTTGAATAGTCAACCCTTTGTTAAAGTAAGGGCTTTTATATTTATTACATGTTTATGATTTTCTGTACTTTTTCTTTATATAAATCTGAATTTCCTCTATTATCTTTTTCCTTTATTCCCTGAAGAACTTCCTTGAACATTTCTTACATTGTAGGTTTGTTGGTGAAAGATTTTCTTAACTGAAGATATTTTTATTTCACCCTTTGAAGGACAGCTTCTCTGGATATGAAATTCTGGGTTGAGAAATTTTTTTTAGCACTTTAAAAAAATGTCATTATTTTATCTTCTTACATTGTGTCTTATGAGGAGTCAAAGGTCATTCTGGTTGTTATTCTATACTTAATGTATCTTTTTTTCCTGTGGATTATTTTAAATATTTCTCTATAATACTGGCTTTACTAATTTGATTATGGATATATAGTATTCATTGGCTTTATCTTCTTTGGGGTTTATAGAGCTTTTTGGATCAGTGGGTTTTTTATTTTTCATCAAGGAAAATTTTCAGTCAGTATTTCCATAAATACTTTTCTTCCCCAATTTCTCTTTTGTCTCCTATTGAGACTTTATTTACATGTATGTTACATTTTTTAATGATGTTTACAGATCAGTTGAAGCTGTGGTCAGTGTTTCAGCCTTGTTTTCCCCACTGTGTTTCTATTTGGATTGTATCAAGTGCCCTGTTCTCAAGTTTGCTGATCTTTTCTTCTACGGTGTCTTACTTTTTTTTTTTTTCCCCATTAGAAATACCCATTAAGTGAATTTTCCATTTCAGCTATCATATATATATATATATATATATATATATATATATATATATATATCTGTAATTTCCGCTTGGTTCTGTCTGACACAATTTCTTTCTGATGTTCATGTTATTCTTTAAATCTTGGGAGCATATTTATAATAGCTGCTTTAAGGTCCTTGTCTGCAGATTCTGTGGTTGCTGTCATTTTTGTATGTTTCTGTTGACTGTTTTATTTATTTATTTTCCTGTTGAGTATTATTCACGTTTTCCTGCTCCACCTGGTGGCATCCTTTTTTAATTCTGTGCTGCCTGTTGTGGATGCCCTGCTGTTGCATGTCTGGATTTTGCTATCTTCATCTGAAAAATCTCTAATTCTGTTCTGGTAGGCCGTTAATACAGATTAGTTTGATGCTTCCGAGGCTCGATTGCAAGCTGTGTTGGAGTGGGTCCGGAGCACCGTAGCCTCTTCTTATCCGCGGTTCCCCTTTCTGTGGTTTGAGTCAACTGTGGTGTAAACAAGTTCATTGGAAAAATCCAGAAATGAACAATGTGTACATTTTAAGCTGCACACTGTTCTGAGTAACAGGCTGAAATCTCATGCCCTCCTGCTCTGTCCCTTTTGGAACAGGAGAGATCCCTTTATCTGCCTTATCCAGGCTGTGTGACTCTCTACCCCCGGGGAGCTGTCTCGGCTATCAGATCGGCTGTCACAGTGCACAGGGCTTGTGTTCCAACAAGCCTGATTTTAATAAAGGCCCCAACGCCATGTCCATAACCTCTATTACAGTCTGTTGTTATAACCGTTCTGTTTTCTTACCAGTCCTTGTTAGTCTCTTAGTATGCCTAATTTAAAAATTAAAATTTGTCACAAATATGTATGCCTAGCAAACAACAACAAAAACACAGTACCTCTAGGATTCAGTACTCTCTGCGGTTACAGGCATTCGTTGGAGGTCTTGGAATGTATCGCTCCTGGATAAGGGTTAGCGTAATCTCTCTGAGGCCTGGCTCTTCTGGGGCTCAGCTGAATGCCGTCTCCTCTCTGGCAAACTGGAATTCAAACATCCTGTAACCTTGCCCACCCTGACCCCTCACTCACTCACAGCCAAGGTCGCTGTTGTCTGCCAGGCTTTGCAGGGGGTCCTTCTTTCTTCCTTCTTTGTCATTCTGCCCTTCAAACCCCAGCCATCTTGGAAGCCCTGGACTCTGGTTGCCGACTCCTAGGGTCAGGGTGACTGGGGTGCTTGCTTGGGGCGTCTCCTCGGTGTTAGGGTCCAGAAGTTCCCCCCAGGCCGGTAGCGGGAGTGGTCACGGGGCTCAGGGGGGTCTTCTTCCATGATTCCCAGGAGCCCTGCGCCTCCTTCTGTCCAAGGTCTGAAAACCGTTGTTTCACGTGCTCAATCCAGCTTTTGCCTTGAATCTGGAGGAGGGCTGGTCCCATACCAGCGGCTCCGTGGTGGCCAGAGTGTCAGGTCTCCGGTTCTCTTCCTCAGACTGACATCCACAAGGAGGGTTTCCCGGATGAGACCTGTGGATCCGGCTCCCACTCATTCCCACCCCCAGCCTTGGATCCCATGATGCCCGTTGGCTGCAAATTCATTTCCACTCCCCTCTCCTTCGGGGAGTCCGCCTACCCGCGGCCCCGGTCTCTTCTCCTCAGTGGCATGATTACTTTTTTCAAATCCATACATTCTCTGAGTACTATCTTGCTCCAGTTAAACTTCCAACTTCACAGGAAGGAGAGATCACTGTGTTCTCTTGGTTTTAAATATCTCTTCTCTGTGTCAGTATCTCCGATGTTTCTTAGAAGAGCAATCAGCCAGTCTGTCTAAAACTCTTCCTTCCTCTGCGAAAGCCCAGGTAGGAATTCCAGCTTGACAGCATTGCACGTGAGAGCATCAACAGATGGGGTAAACTATGGGATGAAGTGAGTTAGGAGCCTGGGAAATGCATCGCGGCTGGATCCCCAAGTGCTCTGTGACCCTGGTGTGGTGCCTGTCCCTCTCTGAGCCGTTGCTTCCCTGTCTGCCTACACCCTTGGGGCCAATGGAGGGGAACGTGTGAGATAGGCTTGCCTCGAGGAGAAGCTGGGGAAGGTTCTAGACTCTCAGGTTTTTCTCAGGCTTTGCTTTCTGTGGACTGAGAATTAGTGTCCACCCTGGAGCACGGGGGGCGGAGGTGGGGGCTGTGGCTCGAGAGGCCCCGCCCTCGGCCAGCTCCGAGGGCTCTGGGGGACTGAGAGCGTGCCCCTCTCAGGTACCGCCCCCGGGTGGGAGCCGCCGGACGATCCAGACACAGGCTCTGAGTGCTCGCATCCAGAGGTCTCCCCGTCTCCACGCTTCGTGGCCGCGAAGACCCAGACGAACCAGTCGGGGAAAAAGGCCTCGGCCTCCGTGGTCCGATGCTCCACCCTCTTACACCGCACTCCTCCAGCCACCCAAACCCAGCCGTTCCGCGCTCCAAATTCAGGATCGCCAGCCAACAAGGCAACCTCAGGTACCGACAGCCTGTGTCACCCCACACGTCCTCCATTCCCCCTCCCCCCACCTGCCACCGCTGTGCCCGGGGCCATTGTTCCCTTGCAAGAGCAAGAGTGGGGGGTCCCCTCATTCTGGGGGACGCATCGGGGTCCTAGCTCTGCCTCTGACTGGCCCTGAGACCTTGTTGGGCCACCTAACCAACCTCTCTGAGCCTACATCTTCTTATCCTGAATCAGAAGGTTGTACAAGAGAGTTTGCAAACTTTTCTCCTTTTAAACAAGAGGCTATTTCACGCCCTAGGACATGGCCTAACGGTGTTTTTAAAGACTGTTTAAAATTCACTGCCAACATTTGAACGTGAGGCGGTTTTAGAGGAAACCTGACTTCCAGCTGACATTGACAGGTCCCAGCCGGCTCTCCTGCAGAGCAACAGTCGGCTTGGGCTGAGCCACAGCTGCCTCCTTCCACAGAGCATGCGCCCTCCCTTTTTCCACAGTCCCCACCCCTCCCTCCTGCCCGCCCAACACCATCGCCGTGTGGCCGGTGCCATTGCTCATTGTGGTCACGCCATTTGTCTGTCTGACATCCAGCCCCGTCCATCCATCTGTGTCGCCTGCCTGGAAACCCCTCGGCCTGAGCTTGCATGCCCCGTCTTTCAGAACGCCTGGTCTAAGAACTCATTTCTTGAAGCGGAGTGGCCGACCTGCTCTGGGCCTCCCTCTACTCGTGACTTGGCTCTGGGGGCCCTGGCCCAGCAGGAAGCCCATGGATGCCGGCACCAGTGTTTTCTCGGTCCGTGCAGAGAGGCGCTCGGACCCCGGAAGGGTGAACAGGAAATCGGAGGAGACGCATGGTGTGCTGGGCGCCAGTTATGAGGAACCCGGATTCATCCCCGGTGGAAGGAGCCTCGGGCCGCCTGCCTGTGGGCGGGGGGGGGGAGATTGCTGTAGGGCAGAGTGATGACGTGGTCCCTCTGGGATCAGGGACCTTTTGGTTGCTTTGAAGAGGCCCCGGGCCGCCCATTAATTACACAAGTGATCAGGCTGAGGGCAGGGACCCGGGAGGCTGGGCTGGCGGGTGACTAGCTGTGTTGGCCATTCTCCTTTGGTCCGTGGGCTACTGTGGGGCAAGGCTGTGTTCCTGAGAAATGTTTGAAGATAGGCCGATGACGTGTAGATGTCCCAGGAGGAGAGTGAGCCCTTAGCCTTGAGCATCGTGGGCTTTGAGGTCCTGTGTTGAGAAGAGCCGATAGCCGTTGTATTTTTCTAGGAACAGGCTGGTCCTCTCTGGCTCTTTGGTGGTAGATGTGGGCTCAGCTAAATCCTGGGATTGTGAGTTTCAAGTGTTTGCTTTTTATTCTGGACCTATGGTGGGAGTTTCTACGTCTGTAGTTCCTGCAGGGAGCTGCCTGGAAGGGGCTGTTCGGTCTGTGGCAGCGGGGGGACTTGCTTCTAGCTGCCTCTCTGTGACTGGGAAGACTTGGGGGTGAAGAGGGGTGGGCAGAGCAGGTGGGCGCAGAGCAGGTGGGCAGAGCAGAGGACACCGGGTTGTGAGCAGGAACCTGCACGGCAGAGCTGGACGTGGTCGCCGCCTTCTCCGTGTTGGCACCGGCAGCTCTTCCTGGGTGGAGGTGCGGGCCTGTGCCTGGGGTCCCACCCACCGTATAGTCCACTGGTTTGTGGCCCAAGGTGCCCGGGGCAGGGAGAGCGGATCAAAATTTGCATTATGAGCTGAGAACTGGGAAACAAACGTTGACCTCAGTTGTTCTAAGTTCTGCCAGTGGATTGGTGAGGCTGCGTGGAAGCCCTCTGCAGAGGGGCCGCCGACCCCCTGCCCGCGCGAAGATTAAGACGCAGAAAGGAGTTGCTTCTGGAAAAGGAAGCGTCTGCCTGTGCGAGGATGAAGTCTCATTCTGCCGTCTTAGAAGATTAGCGGCGCGCTTGGCCCCTGGAACTTAACAGGCTCACTTTCCTGTGTGTGTGTGTGTGTGTGTGTGTGTGTGTGTGTGTGTATTTCACCTGTAAAACGGAAGTGACAGGGTGGACCTCATAGAGCTACTGGGAGAATGGAGAGAGACCCTGGGTGTAAGGCATCCAAATCAGTGCCTGGCACATAGTAGATGCTCAGTAAATGAGTGTCCTCCCTGCTTCACCTGGGCAGAGAATTGAGGGCCTTCCTCTGCCCGTTAAAGATGACTCCTTGAAGGAGGCAGGCAGGTGGCTCTGAGCGCAGGCATTCTGTAGATGCGTTTTGAAGAGGGTTATCCTTGTCATGTGATGGACAGCCTCTGCGGGAAGGAGACGTTGTTGGGTCAGGGAGTGGGGCATTGAGCTGGACCTGCAGGAGCCGGCTCTGGCTTCCTTTCCCGTCGCTCCCCAATGATCGTCTAGAACCCCGGCCCCCACCGCCTGGGCAAGAGCCCCTCAGGCACAGGGTGGACTGGGGGACAGTGGCATTTCCCAAAGTGAGTTCCTGAGACCACCATTTTTTGAGGAACAGTAAGGCATCTTATCTGATCATTAAAAAATAGGCGCCCTAGCTGGTTTGGCTCAGTGGCTAGCGCGTCGGCCTGTGGACTGAGGGGTCCCGGGTTCGATTCCAATCAAGGACACATGCCCGGGTTGCTGTCTCCATCCCCAGAGGGGGACATGCAGGAGGCAACTGACCAATGATTCTCTCTAGTCATGGATGTTTCTCTCTCTCTCCCTCTCCCTGCCTCTCTGAAATCAATAAAAAATATTTTTTTAAATAAAAAAAATAGGCTTCAGTGGCCAAATCCATTTGGAAAGGCTGGATTAAGCCAAGCCAGATGGGCCTCTTCTTGGTGACCTTCTCAGACACCCTGGTGTGAGTGGCTTCTCCTTGAGAAAGGGGCTGGCTCGGCTGTTCCATCCAGTGACTTGTTCCCGGAAATCTTTGTCTCCTGGAGCCTCCAGCACCCACTGTGCCCAGAGCTGCTTGGAAAAGCCGAGTCCCCTCCCAGCCTGGATGCCCTGTTTCAGTACCTCCTGCAGGTGGGGGAGAGGTGGGCACGGCATTGGTATTTCCCGGCTTGGACGCTGTTTCTGCCTCTGGGGTCACAGGCAGTGCCTGGGAGAAGGTGAGCCGGTACGAAAAGTGCCGCCTGTCAGCGGAGACGCCCAAGACATCATCAGAAGCTGGTCCTTCCCCCCGAGTGAACTCTGACCTGATCCCACCTGGCCTTTGGCCTCCTGGGGTGTGGGCTGCCCCCCCTCTGCCTGGCACACCTTCTCTCACGCAGGGACCACTGGGCATGTGAAGCTGTCTGACCCACCCCTTCTACCTGCCCTCCTCCCTGCTCTGTGTGGGGCCTGAAACGGGAGAATCTGGCATAGGGACTAGGGGGGGCAGGTCCACATGACCCAGTGTCACTCACACATGTGGCTCCCCAGGGGCCAAGATGGGAGCCCCAGGCCCATTTGCCATCTGCTCCCTTGGCTGGGTGTCATCTGCATGCCCCTGGACAGGTCACCCACACACGCCCCTAGGCCTGGACCCTTGCCCCCTCTGGGCACTGTCCAGAGGGTCTCCTGGGGCCGTGACAAGGTATCAGGCAGCTCAGGTGAGCTTAGAGGAGCTGGCGGTTCTGATTTGGGATCCTGGAGCTCCTCATTGTGCTGATCTCCCCAACGTAAAGCCCTGGGCCCTCCTCAGCCCAGGTACCCCAGCCTCTGAGCTGCCTCCGGCAGGCCCCCCTTTGGACCTAGTGCTGATCAGTCACCGGCGTTTTCTCTCGCTCTCTCCCGTCCTCACCAGCAGAAAGCGCTTTCAGCCGGAGAGTAGAGAGCAAAGCACAAAACCACTTTGAAGAGACGAACAGCAGTTCCCAGAACTCCAGCGGTGAGTGTGCCCTGTGGCAGGGGCCCTGTGCTGAGGTCACTGGCTCTGTCTGCTCCCCGCTGTGGGCTGGGGTCTCCATGATGCATGCTGGTGGTGTTGGGAGGGGGCTGAGAATTAGGAGGCCAGGGCTGGGCAGAAATCCAGGGGCTTATTTCTGGGCCTGGGGGCCTCTCGGGGAGCTGTGGCCCTTCCTGTCTCCTCCCGCCTCATAGTCTGCAGCATCTACTCACATGGCCCCAGAGAGTTGGGCCTAAAAGAGCCATTTCTACATTTTTAGGGAAAACATCGTAGCCATTTTCTTTCCAGAAGAGGCAACGGGGTTACGCAGAGAGAGCTGTGGCCTGGTAAGCCACAGAGGCCCAGAGTTCTGGCTTCACTTTGGACCAGGAACCCATTCAACGGTTCCCTTTTCGGCCCCTGCCAGCCCAAGGTTTGCTTGAGGTTCCTGGTAGTGTTTTGGCGCCCCCTGGTGGCTGCCTCCGCCAAGACCCTGGCAGAACAGAGAGGGCCTTAGAACAGAGCTGCCTAAGGCCCCTCTCCCCAGATAGACCTGGGTCAGCCTGCGGGGCTGTGGGACAGGGGAAGAGGGGCAGGGTAGTCACCAGCGGCCTCTATCTGAGAAAGGCATAGCCAGGCGGTCTGCACAGTGATGGCCAGGGCAGGAAGAGGAGAGAGTTCTGACACTGGAACTCCCTCTAGCGCACAGTTGAAGTTCCATTCATCCTACTCGGTTTCCACTTGTGCCCAGCGTACCCGGGCACTGCTTGTGTGTAGACAGATGCTGGACAGAGCCTGGCCGTCCATCAGGGGCTTTACAGAACAGTTGGGAACACAGATTTGAATGTGGAGGCTTCTGCGTAGGAGTCTGAGCTCCAGCTCTGTCTCCAGCCAAGGTTCGAACCTGAGCTCCGCCCCCTGTGAGCTGGCAGCTGGGCCTGGCCTCTCAGTTCTCCTCCGCTGTAAAGTGGGAATAGCACAGGCGTCCCTTTCATGATGAGCACTCAGCAAGCGTCCTGCAGAGATTATGTGCCCACTCGTGCAATCTCTCTAAGTAAACGGAGTTATTCCACGAGGGCCCTGAGCAAGGGCGTGAGGTGTGCTGGGGTGGCCTGAGGATGCTGACGGGACCCCTTAACGGAGAGAACATGCCAGCTTTTCCAAGCTGCTTCACCCCTTCTGAAACACGTAATCCGGCAGCATCTCCAAGAGGTGGGCTTAACCGTGGTGGAGTTCTGCCCGAGGCCACATTGGGCTAAGCATCAGGACCGGAGCCCTGACCTCCCAGGAGTCTCTGCTCTGAGCCAGCCAGGCTGCCCCCCCTGCCTCTCCTTCCACCAGAGCCCATACTCAGAACCGGGACTGGCTGTGTGACGGGAAGATGCCGTTTACTGAGCGCTTACTATGTGCCTGGCATGTGTTCAGAGCTGTGTGTGTGTCTTTCCTGTCTTCATGTGTGCCCCAGCCCCAGGAGGAGAGTTACCTTTCGTTTTGGGATGAGAAAACGGAGGCTCAGGAGAAGGGGGTGGTTGCACCAAGTCCCCAGCTTGTAAGTGGTGGAGCCAGGACCCCAGTCTAATCCACCCGCACTGCTCTGCCACCTCCTGCGTCTGCGGCTCACCTGGCAGCACCAGGCAGCAGGGCGGGGGAGGGGGAGACCCAGCAGGCAGAGCACCTCACAAGCACAGCCCTCCCGCTCTGGGCCAGGACCCAGAAGCAGCCTCCTGTCCTAAGGCCGAGGGTGGACATGGCTCATTTTGCTCTGGGGATGCTCGCCTGTGGAGAGAAGAGTGCTATGGCCCTGCCCAGTGCCCCAGCCCCACCCCGGAATCTGAGCCTGGCTCTGTGCTCCCCTCGCCTGAGGGCCCCATCTAGCTCACCACTTGTTAATGATGGAGATAATGACAGTCATCTGGGAGCACCAGGCCTGGAGGAGACCTGGCTAAACTGTTTCTCTTTTGCAGAAACGGCAAGTCCCCTGATTTCCAATACTTTCCCTCTCCTACAGAGTAAGTGGGGGTCCCACGGGGGGCTGGCGAGGGCGAGGCAGGGCAGGGAATGAACGGAGTGGCCACGGCTCTCGGGGCCTCCCCAGAGCATCTGACCTTGGGCCTCCCTCCCAGGCAGGCAGGGCAGCGAGCAGGGCAGGAGGGATGCCCAGCCCAGGTGGGTGGAGGAGTTGGGATGGGGGACGAGGCAGACCCTGACAGTGCAGCCGCCTATGGCCCCCAGTCCTGTGGGAACACAGACCTCTCCATTCCTGCTCCGTGTCAGCCATCCTCCTCCTCTTTCTCCTTTGTATTCCTTCTTCCTCCCTCGCCTCCTGGGCATTGGCTGGAGTATTGAGAACAGAGAGGAGAGGTAAAGGCCCCCTTGTTCCGTTCCCATGTGCTGTCATTCCCCCTTCTGTCCTGCCCTCCCCTCTTCCCTGCCCCTCCCACGTCTTATCCCATTTCTTGCTTTTCTGTGGCTTTCTCCACTTCTTACCCTGTTCCGTTTCTTCTTCCTCTCCCTTTCCTCTGTGTCCGTTGCCTTGTTTGGGGGTTCATTCATACCTCAGCTCATTCAAACAGGGATGCCTAGATGCTTCTGCAGGCAGGCAGATGGGCTGTGGAGCCAGTAAGACCCGGCCTCTGCCCGTGAGCCCCTGGTGCCTCCTCTGGCCCATCCCCGTGCCCAGAACAGTGCCTGGCACACAGTAAGCACTCAGTAAATGGCTGCCTGACCCATGCGAGCCCTCTGAGGCCGCATGTCTTCCTCTCCCCACCGGTCCTTCCTGCCCCCCCCCCTCACTCGTTAGTGCCAGGGGCAGATCAGGCTGGGCCCAGAGCCCCCCCCCCCCCCCCGGTGTGTTGGGGTTCCCAGTTTCGAATCCGCCCACAGCCCAGCAGCAAGTCCTTCTGTCCCTAAATCGCTGCTTCATTTCTCCCCGCAGAACCCTACACGTGCGGCGCCTGTGGGATCCAGTTCCAGTTCTACAACAACCTGCTGGAGCACATGCAGTCCCACGCGGGTAAGCGGCCACGGGACATGGGACCTGCCTGGAAGATCCCCGGTCCATCCATTATCACACGGGGAGGGGTTGGGGGGACAGCAGGCTCGGGAGAGCACGGGGTGTGGGCATGGGGCTGAAGAAGGCTTCTGGAAGGGAGCCTAAAGGCCCAATAGGCTCTGACCAGGGAGAGATGTGAAGGTGGGCGTTGAGTGTGGCTTGAGGTCAGAGAGAGCAGAGGCCAGCGATGGGCCCAGGGAAGGCCTTGAATGCCAGCTCGGGGCACTTAGACTTGACCATATGGGAATAGAGACAGCAGTTGGAAGGCTGCTCTGGGACTCCTGCCTGAAACTCCCACAACCCACGCGCCCCCCCCCCCCCCCCCAAGCCCCAACCCTTCCCACTCTGCCAGCCTCTGGAAGCTGAGGCTGATTGGGGAAGAATCTGCTAGGCCCTCCCTCAGGCAGTTGGGCAGAGGCCATTAAAATGCAAATCAAGGCAGCACCTCCCCCACCTCCTCCGGGCACCTCCACTTTCTTCCGTGGAGAGCTTTGGGCTGCTTTGTTCTGGTCCAGTGCGGGCAGAGAATGCGGGAGGCAATCCAGTGCAAAGCCCGGCGGAATCCCAGCCGGGCTGCGCCGGGATTAAAGGATTGACTCCATAGAGAGAAATTAAACGTCATGATCTGCGCGGTTCACGGCGCTGCTGATAAGGGGGATCAGCCTCGGATAACACCGATCTCATTAAGAGGCTGCCGAATGGCACAGGGTAATTCCCGCTAATAAACTCCCCTTCTGTGCCGGAGGGGACCCTGTCAGGAGCCAGATTTGGCAGGAATAACACTAAAGGCAGCTAACATGTCGTGAGCCGATTAGTGTGTGTCAGGGTGGTTATTTCGTTGGATCTGAACGAGCCTGTTAGCTAGCTGACATAACCCTATTGTACAGATGAGGAAACCCAGGCTCAGAAAACAGAATCACTGGTCCAAACAGCTGCTAACATGACTTGAGCTCTTCCTTGGTGCCAGGACTTATTCTTAGAGTTTCACACGTATGAGCTCCCTTAACCCCAGAACATCCCTCTGAGTTAAGTGTCTTTATTAGCTCCACTTTATAGGTAAGGAGATGGAGGCACAGATTGGCTTAGTAACTTACTAATAAATATACTGAAAAGTCCAAGGCTATGCGGCCTCATGCTCTTCCTCCTTCCTGTTTCGGCCCCTCCCTGGGAATCAGCCTTCATTCCAGCTTCGCATCCAGCTCTTTGTAGACCAGACGTTAGTGTGTGAGTGTGTGTGTGTGTGTGTGTGTGTGTGTGAGTGTGTGTACACCTGTGTACATAGGGATAGCCACACAGTAAATGCTAAGTCCAGCTCAAGCTACAAATCAAGCCTTTTTACAGAGCATTTACAGTACCCCACCCATGCAACAGCAGCATCTGAGACATGGAGAGGACCTTTATTTTTTTAATTCAACCAATACCAGACCATGTTATTAATGCTAGGCTGTGTAACTTTGATCCCAAGTCCTACAGACGGTCAGAATGAGGGAATGACCCTCCAGCTTGTCCAGCCCCAGCGTTTTTTTTTTGGGGGGGGGGAGGGGAAACTGAGGCCCAGAAGTGACCCACAGCCCTGGCAGAGCTGGGTTCAAACCCAGGGCTTTTAAACCCATGTGCTCTAGTGAAGAAAGTCCACCAGAAAGGCTGCTGGTTTCCATTTTAAAATCTGCACTTCCCCTTTTTAAAATATAAGATCTATTCATTAAAAGAAATTGGGAAAATGCAGATGAATTGGGAAATGAAGAATAGGCCACCATCTCAAAGTTAACCAGTTACTCTTTTTAATGGGTTTCTCTTCGGTCATTTTAAATTCTGATTCATCGAGATTTTAAGAGGACAGTCTGATGGGTTAACCATCAACCCAGAACACACATACCCCCCCCCCCCCCCCCCGCCTCCATGCAGCCAGGCCCTACCTGCACCCAAGCCCTGGAAACCACGATTCCGATTTTCTGTTTTTTGAGTCATTTTTGGTAGTTTATGTCTTTGTAAGAATATGTCTCTTTCATTCAGGTTATCTAATTTGCTGGACTACTACTGTTTGTAGTATTTCTTTATAATCCCTTCTATTTCCACCAAGTTTTCTCTGATGCCCTTTACCAAGTAGATGTCTCCTTCTCTTCCTAGTTTGCTCAGAGTTTGTGTGGTGGTGGCTGTTGAGTTTTGTCACATTTTAATGCGCCTTTATATCTGTGGGGATGATTTTTCTATTCCCCCCCACACACACACTTAGTATAGGGCATTACACTGATTGGGTTTCAATTATTAATGTCAACTTCAATTTCTGGGATAAACTCCTTATTCGTGATATGCTGTTCTTTCTATACATTACTGTATCTAACTTGCTAATATTTTGTTAAGGACTTTTTGTGTATATGGTTATGAGGGATATTGGTTGTCGTTTCTTTGTCTAGTTTTGGATCAGGATAATGCCAGCTTCATAAACTAAATTTCTAATTAATATACTGAAAACTCAAAAAACAAACAAACAAAAAAAACCACACCAAAAACACACACACCCAAAAAAAAAACAACACACCACCACACTGAAGATATGAGAGTAGGTCACTTGTGTGTAACTGGAACCCCTCCCCCATTTCAGAGCTAGAATTCTGGGGATGTGTGTAGGGGGGTCGGGGCGCGCGCGGGAGGGGGCTCCCAGCCAGACCTGGGTGCTGTGAACCCCATTTGCTCAGCACTTTCTCCACGCTGGGCACGGTGCTACGCCCTTCCCCTGCGTTATCTCTTGTCAGTCCTCTCAGCAGTTGTGTCACATCTGTGTGATTATCTTCATTTTTCCAAACGGTGAGAATGAGGCTTCGCAATCACATGCTAGCTGTGGAAGGAGGAGCCGGATTCGGCTCCAGGCCGCAGTCCCAGGAGGCATGCTTGCCCTCACCCGCCACACTCTCTCTCATTCTCGTTTGTTAGCCCACAGGCCTCTGATGCTTTAGGGCCACGGTCAGCAAACTGCGGCTCTCGAGCCACATGCGGCTCTTTGGCCCCTTGAGTGTGGCTCTTCCACAAAATACCACAGCCTGGGCGAGCCTATTTTGAAGAAGTGGCGTTAGAAGAAGAATAAGTTTAAAAAATGTGGCTCTCAGAAGAAATTTCAATCGTTGTCCTGTTGATATTGGCTCTGTTGACTAATAATGAGTTTGCCAACCACTGCGTTAGGGTAACAGTCTGTCCCCTTGGTGCCCACAGCGGACAATGAGAACAACATCACCTCGAACCAGTCCCGGTCGCCCCCTGCTGTTGTGGAGGAGAAGTGGAAGCCCCCGGCCCAGAGGAACAGTGCCAACAACAGTAGGTCTCCAGGCGGGAGCCGGGGGGACTCCTGGAGGCCTGCCCCACGCACCTCCAGCCCCCACTCTGCTTGCTCCCTTCTGCCCGCATCCCCGCCCCCTGCGCCTCCCAGGGTGACGGGAGGCCGTGCCTATGATTCCAAAGCACTTTCACACTTAAGACCTCATAGCATCGGCCAACGGAGGCCCGGGGAGAGGAGGTGACCTGTTTGTGATCAGAGAGTCCCAATTAGTGACGGGGTCGGAACTGGAATCCACTCTCACAATTCCTGTTGGCTTCTCTTTCCTGACATGCTGGCTTCCTGCCTTTTATTCACGGGCAATGCCTGTGTTAGCAACCATGGCTATCCCGAGGAAGAGGTTAGACTAGTTGGCTTCAGGAGTCTGGCTGACCGGCCCATGCAGCAAGTATGCTGCCTCCATACCACTATGTTCTAGTCCCACGCCCGGGGCAGGCATTACTAATCAATCAGTCACAGAATGTCATTCTCATGAAGCTCCTGTAATATGCGTGCAAGATGAAGCCTATTCATCACTCCTCGTACTAGATGCTGGGAGCATTAGTCTGCAGCTGGATCAAGGAGCCTCGAGTGCCAGGGTTAACCAGGTCTCTCCTTGTGTCCCCGCCAGCCACGGCCAGTGGTCTGCCGTCCAACAGCCTCATCCCCGAGAAGGAGCGGCAGAACATCGCCGAGCGGCTGCTGCGGGTCATGTGCGCTGACCTGGGAGCGCTGAGCGTGGTGAGCGGGAAGGAGTTCCTGAAGCTGGCCCAGACGCTGGTGGACAGCGGCGCCCGCTACGGGGCCTTCTCCGTCACCGAGATCCTGGGCAACTTCAACACGCTGGCGCTGAAGCACCTGCCGCGCATGTACAACCAGGTGAAGGTGAAGGTGACATGCGCCCTGGGCAGCAACGCCTGCCTGGGCATCGGCGTCACCTGCCACTCGCAGAGCGTGGGGCCCGACTCCTGCTACATCCTCACCGCCTACCAGGCTGAGGGCAACCACATCAAGAGCTACGTGCTGGGCGTGAAGGGGGCGGACATCCGCGACAGCGGCGACCTGGTGCACCACTGGGTGCAGAACGTGCTGTCGGAGTTCGTGATGTCGGAGATCAGGACGGTGTACGTGACGGACTGCCGGGTGAGTGCCTCCGCCTTCTCCAAGGCCGGCATGTGCCTCCGCTGCTCGGCCTGCGCCTTGAACTCGGTGGTGCAGAGCGTGCTGAGCAAGCGGACGCTGCAGGCGCGCAGCATGCACGAGGTCATCGAGCTGCTCAACGTGTGCGAGGACCTGGCGGGCTCCACGGGCCTGGCCAAGGAGACCTTCGGGTCGCTGGAGGAGACCTCGCCGCCGCCCTGCTGGAACTCGGTCACCGACTCGCTGCTGCTGGTGCACGAGCGCTACGAGCAGATCTGCGAGTTCTACAGCCGGGCCAAGAAGATGAACCTCATCCAGAGCCTCAACAAGCACCTGCTCAGCAACCTGGCGGCCATCCTGACGCCCGTGAAGCAGGCCGTCATTGAGCTGAGCAACGAGAGCCAGCCCACCCTGCAGCTGGTGCTGCCCACCTACGTCCGGCTGGAGAAGCTGTTCACGGCCAAGGCCAACGACGCGGGCACCGTCAGCAAGCTGTGCCACCTCTTCCTGGAGGCCCTCAAGGAGAACTTCAAGGTGCACCCGGCGCACAAGGTGGCCATGATCCTGGACCCGCAGCAGAAGCTGCGGCCCGTCCCGCCCTACCAGCACGAGGAGATCATCGGCAAGGTGTGCGAGCTCATCAACGAGGTCAAGGAGTCCTGGGCGGAGGAGGCCGACTTCGAGCCCGCCGCCAAGAAGCCACGCTCCGCAGCCACCGCCGCCGCCGCCGCCGCTGCCGCCGGCGAGAACCCCGCTGCTCCGGGCGACGACCGTCTGGGCAAGAGCGAGGTGTACGACTACCTGCAGGAGCCCCTCTTCCAGGCCACCCCCGACCTCTTCCAGTACTGGTCGTGCGTCACCCAGAAGCACACGAAACTGGCCCGGCTGGCCTTCTGGCTCCTCGCCGTCCCGGCCGTGGGGGCCCGGAGCGGGTGCGTGAATATGTGCGAGCAGGCGCTTCTCATCAAGAGGAGGCGGCTGCTCAGCCCGGAGGATATGAACAAACTCATGTTCCTGAAATCCAACATGCTCTAAGGCTTCCGCGTCCGGACAAAGAGGAGCGCGAAAGAGAACCGTAGGGAAAAATGGATACGCAACACTGTCGCCAACAAAGGAAAGGAATTTATGTTCTAAACACTGTGGACCTCATTATCAACGCCCCCCATCCTCCCCTCCCCGGGAACTTAAGTGCTTTTTTTCAGTGTGTGTGTGTATACACACACACGTGTGTGTGTGTGGGTGCGAGGCCCTTTGGCTCCTCGGCGTGGCCACTGTAGCTTCGCGCGCACACGTGCACACACGTGCACACACATACCACCCAGGTGCATGCCCACGCCTGCTCGTGGGCGCGTGTGCATGAAACCGGGCGTGTGGGGGAAAGCCGAGCGTGTGGAAAGGGAGGACGCGCTCTCCTCGTTTCCTCGGCGAGGGGCTTTGAAGACTCTGCTTTCAGGTGTGCAGGTGGGTAGGACGCTGACGTTGCAAAAGTGTTCGGGCAGCTGAGATCTGAAGTGACTTGACGCTCGCACCCATGGTCCTCAGCCCATGGTCCCTCTTCTCCCTGCGTGCCCCTCCCCCCAGCCCTCCTCACCCTCATGCACCCTCCCCGGCTGCCCTGCGCTGGATTCTCCATACGGCATCAGATGGACAGTTTCTGCACTGGACTTCGTTCTCGTTCACCTTCAGGGCATTGAGCGGCTGCCTCCGGGGTGACCCGGGGCAGCCGCCTTAGAAACACACCTATCTCTCTCCCCAAATCAGGAAAGGAGACTTTTAAGCATAGAAAGCTGACTTTTTGGCTTTTTAATATAAGAAAAAGAAAGAAAGAAGAAAAAAAGAGACGTATTTCAGAGAAGTATAGACACTTATCTCCACTCCTTAATTCTCTTCCTCACATTTTAGCCGTTTTGACCTTTCTGGTTTTTTTATTTCCAAGTTTGATTTAGACTCTGCTAGGAGGCACTGAATATCTATAACTTATGTTTTGAAGGTTGTTTTTTTTTTTTTTTTTTTTTTAGTTGCCTTTTTTGTTCCTCAAGTCACACTGTAAACTAGCTCATCTCAGTGGTATATTCGCTCTCCTAAGGTTTTCACCGGCCTTCGCTGTACCGTCCCGTGTCTGTGCGTTGGAACAGCCGAGACCACGCTTGTCTGTGCTGCGTGGAGACCGGGAGGGGGCTCGGTGGAAGCCATAGGGACGCCTGTGGTTAAGGACTGCTCCTGAATGTAAGGGAAGGCCCGCCCTCCCGGCTCGCCGCGCCCGGTACCGCGAATGTCCGACTTGTATACCCAGAGTGCATTACACTACTCGCCACGTCACTGACACTCTCAGCTCAGCAGGGACGCCTGAGCTGACCCACGTTCGTCCACGTCTGTCACACCTCAAACTCACCACCCCCCACCCTCACCCCTCCCCAGGACCCCAGGGGTTCTCGTGGGCCCGTTGCCCACCGCCCTGGGGTCCCCGCACTCGAGCCTCAGCCCTCCCTCCAGGACAGTAGTTGAGCACGGTGCCTTGTGGGCCAAACGGTTGGTGTATGGGTGGCGGCATGGCGTTAGGCCGTTCTGAACTTGATGCTGTGAAAGATGTCCGTAGGCTTTTTCTCTCCACAAGCAGTTCCGTTTCTACACACTCAGTCCAAATGCCGAGGGGGGCCCCTCCCCCTCCCCCCCCATAGCGGTGGTTCTGTCAGGATCGGCCATCCGCCCCGGCCCGCCTCTCTGTGAACAGAGTGCCGGCGGTCTCCCATCCTCCGGTGCCCGTGGCTGTGGCACAGAGATGGCGACGCCAAGGGCTTCAGGCTGAGGACGGCCACGTGGTTTCCGCAAAGGCACATCCTACCGTCTCAGGGGCCAGGGCCACCCCTTCCTCCTCAGAAAGCATTACTCAATTGCCAGATACCTCGACTACAGAAAGCACTGTACCCTGCCCGCTCCCAGTCCGGGGGTGGGGGCTGGGCAGGTGACGCTGGTATAGAAACACTGTCCCCGGGCGCCTCGCCTGCTCACTTTGCCTCATGAGACCTTCCCCTCCGCGTCCTGATGTACTTCGCAATGTATGCGAGGGGGCCGGGGGCACGTTCTCTCCAGCAAGCCACGGCCTCAGCCACCGCCTGCCACGTCCTCGCCCAGAGAAGGGCCAGGTGTCTCCTCACGTCTCCAGCTGGGCTCACGCCATCAGAAGAGCCTCCATGTGCACTGGCCGGCCACCTGATGTCACTTCCCGGGGTGTCTCGGCAGACTTGGGACGCCGGGGCCTCCCAGGAGGTGTCTGTGGGGGTGCTGAGGAGCGAGCGGTACCTCCAGCTCCAGGTTCCTCCAGCTCCGCTCTGCTCTGCTCCGCTGCCGGGGAGGCGACACCGGGAGGCTCAGAGCTGCTCCCTTTGTGTGGTCGGTGGAAACGGCCTTACGGCCCATCCTCCCTCTCCGTGGAGCGGAGCTGGGTGCTGGTTTGGAAGTAGGCATTTCGTGTTCTCGTGAAGCCATCAGAGACCGAGTCCAGATGTGCATTTGGAGTCTTCAGACCACGAGATGCCAGCCCTCCAGAATGAATTCCAGTCTCACCAAATTCTAGGCACTGAGTCACGTGCCATCCTCTGTTTTCCAGTTCCTCCGAAGTTTAGTCCTTAGGGCAATCCCTTCAAGCTGTCTCCTGGGGCTGCCTCCACCACCTGTGGTGACGAGGTGGCAGGTAGCCATCTCTCTCTCCTTTCTCGCAACCTCTGGTTCCCCAGAAGCTGGTGTTGCCAACAGCAAAGACGGTGCCCGGGCGCCCCCTCCGTCTGCTTCCTCACGCAGGCAGTCCCCACAGGGCAGATCCTTCTGCTGCCAACCACTGAACAACCCAAAGAGCTCACAGGTCCAGCCACTGGCCCCCGATTTATAGCAATAGCCACCTTGTTCAGACTCTAGCTCAGCCAAAGGATGGGGGTAGGCTCTTCCATATGATCTCCAGGCACTGGCCCTGGCGTTGACCTTCGGAAGGGTCTTGTCTCCTGCCTCCTACTCCTCTGACAGCTGTGGAACCTCCCAGCACCGGCCCTCGGCAGCTGGCAGACCCGGGACCAAAGTTCCCATCTCGTTCTGGGCAGCTCCAGGTGCTCACCTGCTGACTTGGACACAACTCCTCTTAAGCCATGAGGTTCCCAGGACGGAATGGGTCTTGGCTTTGGCATACACGAACCCAAGAGGAGACTGCGGAGTTGGCTCTTCCTCTGAAGCCAGCTGGCTTCACCACCCAAGCCCAAGCCAAGGACCGTGTCTCGTGGGTGGTCCTCAGATTTGGAGTAGCGGTGCCATCCCAGTCATCGTGAGCAGGTGCTCCTGTCCCAGCAACGTCCTCCCTCCCCTGCGCCCCGGTCAGCCAGCCAGGCCTCCCACGGGTGGTGGTTAGAAACCAGGAAACACAGGGAGGAGCCACCTGCTGCGTGTGCCTCCAGCCCTCAGAGCGGCTCTTGGCTGGGAGAGAGGCCGGACGGCACATCAAGGAGTGTGGGTCTCCATCGGGGATCCTAGAAAGGACTGTTGACACCAGGTCCACAGGCTGCCAGGAGTTCTCGCCTTCGGTCTGCTCCTGTCCTTTGCCTTCAAGAAACACCGGAGGGAAGCTGCAGGGCAGAGTTCTACTGTGAAGCTTCTGTCCTTGGGGGTCCCCCATGCTTGCGGGAGGCTGCCTGCCTCCTCCCGGGCCTGGACTGGGCTCCTTGGAGAGTGAGTGGGCCCCAGGAGGGATGTCAGGGATACAGCGCATGCTCTCCAGGCTCCAGAGGATCATACGGAAGGTTGGAAATGGAGCTGGGATGCGGATCAAGAAGGAGGTGCTGTGAGAAGTGGCCCAGAGGGGACAGTACCTAGATGTTGTCATCGTGATGGACATGCTTGCAGAGATGGGAAGAAGGAAGTGCACAGGGCACGTGGGTGGGCTTCTGCCCCCCTTGAGCTGGACCGAGTTCATGGCTGTGCCCTGGCCTTGGGCACAGGCCAACGCCTGTGCCCCTGGGATGTACCTGGAGGAGGCCTCCTAGCCAGGCTGCTGCTTTAGACAGAACCGGGAGTTTGCTAAGGAAGGCTCCGCTGTCCCCCGGAGACCGGAGATGAGGGCTCCTGTCCCTGCCCTGCCTGCCCTGGCCCAGCCCTCGGGATCCACGGGGCCAGCGGGAGCATTGGGATGGGCCCGCCCCTCTCTTCACTGTGGCTCATGTTTGCTAGGCCAGTTATGGTGAACCAATGACGCAGTGTTTTCCCTCTCCTGTTCTTCTGGCTCCCCGCTCAGGATTTTCTGGAGGATTTGATCGTTTCTCTATGGCTCTCCTTTGGGTAGTCAGTAGAGGCCTGCCTCTCCCCAAAGGGCCCTGTGCTCTCCTTGCAAAAAGGCACCTGCTCCCGCGTGGATGAGGGAGAAGATCCCGTAGGTCTGTTCATGTCCCCACCGCCACCACGGTGTCGCTTTAAAGACTCAACTCCTGTTCCGAGGAGGACCCTCTGGGTTTGCAGTTGGGCGTCAGCATCGGGCCCGTGAGGGTCCTACCCATCCACTGGGCACCTTGACTCTTCAAACCAAAGTTCCTCACAGGGGCGCCTCCCAGCCTTGATGGCAACCTCAGGGGCCTGGGATCCGTGGGACGCTTCCTGACGTTCAGGTTGGCAGCGACCTCAGGGTCTGAGACCAGCTGGAAGGAGGGGCTTCTCCCACAACCCAGGTGTCAGCAGCCAGTCCCTGCCGGGGACCTCCCCCCCCTCCCGCCCAGCCAGGGCGGTTGGGTTCCCACGCAGTGAGCAAGCTCGTGACCTGGCCTGGGGCGGGGACTCACCATCCAAGAGACAGAGGGGCCTGCGGGGCTGGAGGCTCAGACCCACCGGCCACGTGTCCAGGGCCGTTCAGATCCCAAGCATCAGGAAACCATTTTGTACAACCACCCGAAGCAGAGATATTTTTTAAAAAACGTACCAATTATCTTCCGTTCTCTTCTGATCCTACCTTTCTATCTTTCCCCCCACAACCTCCTGTCGGTGATTCTTTCACATCAGGTAAATCTTGAGAAGGCCTTGGTGCCCCTCCCTCCCACCCCCCCCTCCCCCGTAACCACGTGCGTGCACCCCCATCCTTCTCAGTAGTGAAGACGTTCTAGGCAATACCATAGGCACATCTGACTGTGTCTCTCTCTCCGAGTGCAAGAAACTCAAGTCATCTTAAAAAGAAAAACTACAAAAAAAAAAATTTACAAAAAAAAAAAAACAAACACACAAAAAAAATATCTTTTTTAGGCCAGAGTTTTCTACAGGTATTAATGAATATTTTTCTTAATCCTTATAAGTTTTATGTGTTTAATATTTCTTAATACCGGTAGCATTAATTTATACTTTTGTAGCAACACAATATTTTTATAAACAGCCAGTGGCTTGGCTCAAGTCTCCACGAGGGGTTAACCCAGGGCCATCTTGGGACCCTGTGTACCATGTACTGTATTTAAAAAAAAAAAAAAGTTACCTAGTGTCCCCCTTGCTGTGTTAATGAACAAAAGAGCGTTGTTTGCGATCTGTGCCGGCGTGGATCTCACACGCCTGTGGGTCCCACAGCTCCGCACGGGATCACATTGCATGGGGGTTGCGTTGACGGTTTTTGTGTGATGTGTGAGGGCCCCCCACCCCTCCCCGAGACCAAACGTGTGGGTTTATGTAAGGGTTTTCCGTTTGTCCTTTGGGTTTTTTCCATTTCGACTCTGTTTGGGTCCCTGGTACCGTTTCTCCATTGACAGCCAAATCAGTTTCGTGATGTTTCACACGTGTACTGACGTCACATGGAGGAAAGGAACGGAAAAAGGCAAGGTTTTTACGAAGGAATAAAACTCAAAAGCTGAGCTGTTTCAATGTTGCTGTTTTTAACTGTCTGTTCTGGTCCGAAAGTGGGACGTTCCCAGGGAGAAGAGGAAGGTTCCACTTGGTCCCTTAAATCGCCAAAAGCCCCCCAGCCCAGAATTCAGAACCCCTCGACCCCATCAATTCTTGCAATGTTACTTCCCGGTTGGTCGATGCCAAGGCAAGAGACATCCTTTTAATGGTTAGAGGATCAGTTGCTTAAATGATTTCATGTCGGTGTTGTATTTATGGTTTTACAATAAAACGACCTTTAGGAAGATGGCGGTGTGTGGTGGTATGTCTTGGGTTTGGGGTTGGGCTGTGTGGTTCAGTAAGGGGCATCTCCTGGTGAGTAGAGATGGCTCAGAGGCAGGGCACCTGGGGTTCACAGCTGGAGTCCATCCCAAGGTCAGCGCTGCTAACTCATCTGAGCTCATTGCTCACCTCCAGCACCAGACGGGGCTCAGCCAATGTTTGATAAATGATGGAGGGGCGTGGCCAAGGGGAGGCGTGGTCCCTCCAGGCCTGGCTATTGGACATGGTCCTGTGGGAGAAAGGATGGCTGTCATCTGAGTCCTGAGGGGCAGATCCAAGTTCACCTGGCCCAGGGTCGGTTCTGTGCCTCTCGTGAGCCTGTGGCCTTGGCCTCCCAAGTGGTGTGTGTGGCGTTATGTGTTGTGTGTGATGTCTTGTTTTCTGGGGAAGGGTGTCCGGGACTTTGTCAAATTCCTGATGGCGTCTGCGAGTGCCCTCCACGGTGAACTGCTGTGTGGACTTGCGCCACCGCAGGCCTCGCCCAGAGCCTCACAGGCCAGGCACGGGCACGGCAATGCCCCGAATGAATGGAGCCCAGCGGAAGGCCAGAGGGACAAGACAGCCGTTGGAAGATGCCCTGTGGCCTGAGCGGGTGGAAGGGTGATGGCCCTTCAAGCAGGAACACCTGTGCAAAGGTGACATCGCCGTCTCGCTGTCAAGGTAGGCGGATGCCAGATACCCAGCACCTCTCTGTCCCTGCCTTCAACCAGATGCGGGCTGCTCTTAGAGAGCGTGCTACTTGGGTCAGCTGAACTCGTTCCATCGAGTCACACATGCAACAGCTCCTGGGGGCGCCAGCTGATGCCCTCCTTCCGAACCATCCTGTACGGGTTTCCTGCTGCTGATGGTGTGGACAGCCCTGGGCCAGCAGCTGACATGTAACTGGGAGTTTGTGTGTGGTCTAAAACAGGCAGGAGCCCTACTGCCACTGACCGTCCGCCCCACACCTTGGAGCATCACCAACAAGACCAGGGCCTGCCTATAGCTGGAGGACCAGCCTCTGGATGTGCAAGTTTTAAAAAGAGGACTTTAAAAATAGCCACATCTATTTATATCAGAAACGAGGGACTTGAGAATCCAGTGAGTCCCCAGGGCGGCCACTTTGCCAGCAAGGATTCTGGGCCTCCGGAGATGAGCCTCACAGACTCTGGACTCGGGGGTCACAGGTGTGCTTCAGCCCGCCGCACCCCTGAGGGGTGGAGTCAGGATCCGGGGGAATTTTTTGCAGGGAAGTCATGGAGACATGTCATTTTGTAGAAATGCCACGGAGACAGATGCCTCAGGGCTGGGCAGGCCCCTGTCTCTAGGGGCTGCTCACTTCAGCTTCTCTTCCAACCCCCCTTCAGCCAGCAGGGTGCAGGCCCTGTGCTGCCGGGACTTCCTTTTCCAGAGACTTGAGAAGCCGGATGTGTATATGGAAGCTCAGGTTTTAAATGTCGCATTCAGAGCTGTAAAAAGCACCTTCTGAGCCACACACCCCATCCCCCGGCTGGCCTGCCTGTGCACTGTGGCCGGCGCCCTCTGGTTTAGGCATTTGTTCTTCAGGTCACTCTTCAGAGCGGCGCCTTCAGCCGCCTGTGTGGCTCTGCTGTGCGCAGCATGTGTGGGGGGAGGTATGGACACAGTGTGATGACATTTGCTTGTCGCTTCCCCCTGCACCCACGGCCCAGACCCCACCCACTTATGCCCAGCCAGCCCTGGCCGTGACCACAGGCGTGTCCCTCAGGACAGCCCTCTCCCAAGCGCTAGACTTTGGAGGAGACAGCGGCAGGAGGGCTCTGTGTGGTCTGACCAAGAGGGTTGCAAAGATTTCTATACCTAAAGCCTTGCTCTGGGTTCATCCCCTCAACAAGAGATGTGGAATTCCCTTTTTCTTGATTGGTCTTCTCTCTCTCTCTCAATATATTTTATTGATTTTTTTCAGAGAAGAAGGGAGAGAGATAGAGAGTTAGAAACATCGATTAGAGAGCAACATCGATCATCTGCCTCCTGCACACCCCCTACTGGGGACGTGCCTGCAACCAAGGTACATGCCCTTGACCGGAATCGAACCTGGGACCCTTCAGTCCGCAGGCCAACGTTCTATCCACTGAGCCAAACAGGTTTTGGCTCGATGGGTCTCTTAAGCACATGGGCTAATGGCATGAGAAGCAGCTGTGACCGAAGTAGCCCCGGCCCTTAGCAGGCTCACCCCAGGGAGAAGCAGCCCTGCCTAGGCTTCTGCTGCCCCGGCGACTTCCGCCTCAGGACAGGAAGCTGGGCTGCCCTCAGCAGCGGCCCCATCCGCCGGGCTCTGGGTGGAGGGAGCCAGCAAGCGAGCTTCACACCCCGGATGTTTGTATTCAGTGTGTCTAATCCGGAGGCTCCTAGAGTCCTGCTCTTGGGCCAGGTTGGTGCTGGGGTCACTTTGAGGGCCTTCGCAGGGAGGGGACGCCGCCGGACCGAGGGCTGCTGGTCCTGGCCCAGGGCCCTGCTGGTCATCATGGACAGAAGGTGAAGGTCAGTGAACATTCTCTTCCTGGGGCAAAGGGCTGGGGAAGGGGTCCCGGCAGGCAGCGGGCGCTGGGGACGTGGCTGTGGCCAGAGTAAAACGGGGTTCCATGCAGTGAAGAACGGGAATTATTTCAGGCACTGACCCCCCTGGGCACATGGGGCACATTATTCTGACCCTGGGTTGGTGGTGACCTGTCAGACCTCTCCCTAAAACAAGTACCCGGAGCCGCCCCGTCCTCCAGCTTTATGAAAGCAAAACCGTCCTCTCTCATACTGTTGTCAAGCCAAGGGAACTGTGCTCTGCGTGTCCTAATTTGCATAGCCCGTTTCACGCAGGGAAGATGGCTCTGTTTCATTTCCTCCAAACACATTTCCACTTCCGAGGCGGGCTGGGCTCCTGCCCGCCAGCTTTGTGTTCCCCTCCAGCCCCCATCCCATTACACTAGGATGACAATGAACAGTCAGGACACAGAACTTCAGGAGTCCATGATTTGGCTTTTATTTGAACCCAGGTCCCTCAGCACGGCCTGCCTGATGGGGGCCCCTGGGCCAGGCTCCAGCCTGCAGCCTCCCCGCCATCCTCTGGCCTCGGACTGCTGGCCTCGGACCGGTCAGTTGGTGAAGCGCAGCAGCTCCTCGTCTCCTGTGGACACAGAGGCTCAGGGAGTAGGTGTGGAGCTCGCCTGGGGTCCAGGGCAGGGGAAGATTGGGAGGGGATGCCTCATGGAGGGGGGAAGGCAGCTTGGGCCGAGCTGGTGGGGCCTGAGGCTGGCCTGAGGCCAGAAACTCCCATTGCTGAGTGGCTAGATGTCCCCACAGTACATGCACAGGATGATCTGACTTTCTTCCTCCTCTGGCTTACGTTAGGTGCCGTTTCCTAGCAGGGAGATAAGGCACTGCAATCTTAAACAGCATTGCAGGCATACCTCGGAGATATTGCGGGTTGGGTTCCAGACCCGCATAGCAAAGCCAATACCGCAACGAAGTGAGTGGTAATATCTGTGAAGCGCAATAAAGCGAGGTGGACCTGCCCTGTCCTCCCCATAGCATCACCATCATTATCAATAACAGGTGCCGATAGCTGAGCACTACCAGTTCCAGGCACTGGGAAGTCTGGGAAATAAATGTTTTGTGCCTTTTTACAAGAGAAAACTAAGGCCAAAACTGGCACTTGTCCAGTGTGGCCAGCCCGAATGTGGCAGCACCAGAATCAGCCTAGTTCTGCCAGGCTCCTCAGACTGCCCTGCACACCCTAGGCCTACCCTAGTATACCTGGTACCCCGGGAACCCCATCCAAGCTGGGCTGAGTTCCATGGCGTGGCCCCACATGAAAGATGGGAAGCTGAGGCCCTGGGACTGAATGGGCTGGTCACCTGGTACAGAGTCCAGAACTCAGCTCTCCAGGCTCCCACCTACAGGGCTCTCCCACCTGGACCCCAAGAGCCCTTGGCCCAGCCTGGCCCCCCACAGGGCCTCCTACCGTCGCCAGGGACACCGCAGTACTCCTTGCACTCCTTCTCCGAGTAGAACTTGTTGCCGTTGCCTTGGCAGCCCCCGTACTGAAAGTGGACGCACCTCCCCTGGGCGGCATCGAACGCCCAGAGTTGGATGAAGGCTCGGCAGGGCCCGGGGACTATGGGGAGGTTGCAGGCCGCTGTGGAGGGGAGGAAGGCACAGTGTTGGTCATCCTTCCGGTAGGCTAAGGTGAGGCCCAGGACCTGAGCCAGGGGACCTTGCTCACCCAGAACCCTTAGTCCCATTCTTCTAGGCTGGGAAGCTGGCGCCTACGGTCACCCATACGCCAATGGCACTTCCTACAACTTCAGGAAACTCGCCCTGGATCCCCACCCCGGGAACAGCCTCTCGTAGCCACCGGTTCAATCGGCAGGTGGCCCTCTGGGAGGACGGCGTTGTGAGCTGCAGCGTGCAGAGCGGCAAAGGGCCCAGACTCACCCACGGTTCTGCAGGTCTGCAGACACTCCTTCTCCGTGACAAAGTTGTTGCTGTTGCCCATGCAGCCGCCATATTGGAAAGGCTCACAGGCCATGGACGAGCCGTTATAGAAATACCTGCTGACCATCCCGAGGCAAGGACCTTCAGCGTAGGCCAGCTGGCAGGCATCTGGGGAGGGGTGGAACGGCAGCGCTTACTGGGTGCCAGTGTGCAGGCTGGCCACATTCCAGGCGTCATCTCAATGAGCCTTCACCTCTGCGCCACGAGGGAGGATTACCAGCTAATTTTAGAGATGACATGGAGGCTGAGAGGTAAAGCGACCTGCCCAGGGTCACACAGAGCTGAGGTTCAACATCATGTCTGTTGGACTCCAAAATCAATGCTCATTTCACTCCAGAACACGGGGAGTTACCAGTGACCCACACACCCACCGTCCCATGTTGGTCCTGTCTGCCCAAAGCCTCTGTAATTGATAGTAGTTGTAGTTGATAATACACTCACCAGCACGCATACCAGACAGCCTGACCTCTTCACCGAGCCCCGCCCCCATGCCTTGAGGGAGCAAAACCCTACTGGATACCTGGACACAGCATGCTTTCCCCTCCCGCCATGCAGTCCTTGATCTCCTCACCCCTGCATCCTCCGAGCTACTCCAGCCCCTGGGCTGACCCTCCCTTTTGGGTCCATCACTTTCTTCCCCTACTGCCTCCCCCACTTGACCAGAAGCTCCCCAAAGACCTGGGTGCTTTGACTCTGTGACCCCAGCGCCCGGCACACGGTCTGGGGTAGTGCAGGTTCCATGTTTGCAGAGGGAGTTGTTGGTAAATACTGTCAACAACAGGAAGTCTCCCTCCATCTTTCCCCACCTTGCCTTCAGCCTGGTGGCCAGCTCAGCAGGTGGCCATGCCATGGTACAGATGAGGAAACCATGGCTGGGAGGCCACACTGTGAGGGCGAGCCCTGGCTTCTTACCGTGGTGCTGAGCCCATGCTTTGTCTCCCCTCTCCCCTCACACCCCCTGCACAGGGCAGAGGACTTGATTTGCCTTTCCTAGGCCTAACCTGGACTCTAGCAGGAAAAAAAAGGGATTTTATGGCCATGAGGACAGCCAGGGTGAGTCAGCCATGGGTCCTTCCTTTCTGGAGAGTGACAGAAGAGGGTGGAAAGGTGCGTGATCATTACCTTCTTTCTTCATCAAACCAGTGACCAGTTGCCCAGCCCCCGAGCCTTCCTGTTCCTGAGGCAGCACAGCCCGCCGGGCTCTCTGGGGAGACAAGAAAAGAAGCTGTTGGGGGGGACCTCGCCACTGTTGCTCACATGTACCCCCGGAGTACATACGCCATTTGCGTTGGGAGTCAGGCTGTAGATAGAAGCACAGACACTAGCCTAGCTGATGACCTGTCTCCCAGAAAACTTCAACCTGAATTCCAGAATGGGCATCACAGGACAGAATTCCGGATTGAGACGAAAAATTAGAACAATACCTCACATCCAACCTCCAGCTGAAGTGCCAGAAGGCTATAATGATGGAAAAGGAGTCTACCCCACAGTTGGAAACTGTGCTCCCATGTGAGAAGCTTGAAGACACTGGGTAAAGAAGTTGTGCTGCCTACACACCATGGAATACCACCCAGCCCTAAGGAAGGATGAGGTGGCACCATTTGCAACAACCTGGATGGAACTTGAGAACAGATGAAATTGTCTGAGTGGAAGTTGGAACACAATCACTACTTTCCTTGAAATCAGGGAATCTCAAGATTCCACAGTCTCAACACACCCCAAGGAGCTGAAGCCTTGCGCTTGCCCTTTTTTGGGGTAGCATTTGCTGGGGGGAGGAGGGGGCAGGAGGCGCGGGGGGGGGGGACGTGTAAACAGAAGCAAAAAGAGTTAAAGGCCTTACTTGTCCTTCTGCAGGCTCGTTGAGGCCGTTGAAGGTGCCAGTGCCAACCCCCATGGGGAACTGTGAGTAGAAAGCACATATTAGATCACTTGCTGCGTTAGACCAACATTGCATAATATCAAGGCTTAAAAGCATAGCAAAGCAATAACTAATTCCTGCATTGAATCGTGGGCATAGGCAAGTTTTATTCCTAAAAGCAATGAAGAATCCAGGGGTAAATGCCAGCCTGGCAATCAATAATCAGGATCCTCCAGTAACAGGAAAAAGTCTGGAAGGCTTGGATTTGATGGGGTTATTAACGGGGAATTGGGAAAATGTAGGAAGTCATTAACTAGGAAAATGAAATCAACCCAAGTGGCCTTGTTCAGCATCTACAATTGTTCAGCACTGATCTTGGCACTGGGGGGAGATTACAAAGATGTGGGAGAAGACACCATCTCCATCTCACTGCGTAGACAAGTCTGTACACATGGAACCGTAAGCCAAGAAAAAGCATCAGCATAATAACAACTAATAGATTTAAAAATAATAATAACACCAGCCCCTAAACGACTGGGAATTATGGCGACAGCAATGATCTGGACAACGTAAAGAAAAAGGGGACAGGAGGTGGAACATTTGTCCTTCAAATCATTCAGACAACAGACATCCTCTAACAGTGCTTTCTCCTGACCTTGACATTGCCTGGAGACTTCTTTAAGAAGTGAGTCTCTTGTGGTAAAGAAATATCTACTTGGAGTTCAAGAAGTCCACTTCATTTTTTTTTAATTCATATAAAACTACAATGAAAGCTTTTAAAATTAGAAGTAGCTTCTGCTATATAATCCCACTTAATCAGAGTATTTTTAAACCTGTGCCTCTGTCTACCCACTCTTCCTGCCACTTGGCCTCCCCACACGCATGCATGTCACGATTCCTGGAATAATGTGGATGCTGGCAGTTTCTGGGTAGTAGAATTTTAAAAGAACTCAAATTTTGTTTATACTTTTCTGCATTGTATTAATTCTTTATATTACCACTGATTTGATAAAAATTTATATATATAAATTTTTATCAAATCAGTGGTAATTTTTCTTTAAAGTGTAGAAGCAAACAATATGTTAACTGTTAATTCTATGCAGGAATAAGGACATTGTCCTTTTTTGCTTTCTTGTAGTTTTTCAATTTTCAAGAATACGTTTCTAAGGAAACATTATATATATTTATACACACATATATAGATTTATACACACACCAGCAGAATAAATTAGGCTATATAGTTTTCAAATAATCAGAGAAAAAGGGATGGGTAAAGCTCAGTCAATATGGCAAAACGCAGGAGACTAGAACAGAGGCATACGGAAGCCCCAAAGATAAAAAAGCAGAGATGGTTTGAGAAGCTGCTTGCTCTCAGGTTTGCTCTTTTTTATTTTTTAAGATAAGGTAATTATATTTTCGTTTATTGAGTATTGTTACTTCATTATTAAATATTTCACTGGTTTTAGGCAGCATGCTAAGACCTTCTGTAACCTGTCATTGAACTCTAGCTCCTGGAAGGCAACTAGCTCCCCCATTTCATATGTGAGAAAAGCGAGGTCCAGGTGGTGCCGCAAGAAGCCTAAATGGCAGAACCAAGATTGAGCCCAGGTGGGACTGACCTCATAACCCCAGCCCCTCGCTGCCTTCCCCGACCCCTCTCAATGGCCCCACCCACTACCACCAGCACCACTACAGAGGACCTAAGCAGTCAAGGGGGTGGAGTAGGGAAAAGAGTACTCACTGGGGCTGAAGTGGGATCCGGTTGCTGCTCCCCAGGGACACACTCCCCTAGGTCAGAGGACAGGAGACGGGGGTGAGTGAGAGGACCACACTTGGGGGCATCCTACACCAGAGGGGGCTTTGCTGCTTTCAGGGTGCTGGCTGCTTGCCAGGTGGGCGTTGCACTGGGAATTGTCCCGTGCAATGGCCCACTTCATGAATGGCTCTGCCCAGTGGCTTACTGCAGGCCATTCACGAGAAAAGCTACACGCTGGTGGCTGCACCGTCTTCACCATCGGCGTCCTCGCCACCCAACCACCAGCCTGCCCTCTGCACCATCACAGGGCAGCGATGGCTAACATGGGTTGAGCGCTTATAGACCCCAGGCACGGTGCTATTGTATTTAACGGCTTTATCTCACTGACACCTCACAGCAGCGTATATGAGAGACAGTGTTACCCCCATTTTACAGATGAGGAAAATGAGGCTCTGGATGACCGACCAGCCGGAAGCCAGCCGCATAGCTCGGTTGGAATGTAGGTGCTCTAACTCTGGAGGCCATGCCTCAGCCCTAAGAGGTACCGGTGGAGTCTGGCTGTCACCGCACGTGGACACGTCGCAGTAGCGTGAACATTGAACTGGGTCTAGTCCAGGCTCTGCCAAGTGCACACTGTGTGACTTGGAGCAAACCCAGGGGCCAGCTACCTTCTCGGTAGCGAAGACTGTCGCTCCGCTTGTCTCAGAGGGCTACAAGGCCGACCCAGGGGCCAGGAAGATGTTCTGTGGGGGCTGTGAAGGATGAGGAGGAGACAAAGTGGGCCGGGTGCCGCTTACCTCTGTTGGCCAGGGTGAAGATAGAGTCGTCGGGGATGCCCACACTCAGGGCGACCTCCCTGAACTCCTGCAGCAGGCTCTCCCGGAGCTGCGGCTCCCGCCCTGCAAGTGGGAAGCAGAGAAGATCCTAGAACCACAGGGCCTGGGCGGGCAGGACCTGCGAGGATTTTGCCCAGAAATTTTCATTTAGGGGAAGGCTGAAAACTATCGGCCCAACTTGACCTCTTCAATGCATGATGGAAAGGTCAGCTTCAGAAAAGGAGGGGTCCCTCCCAACCCCCCACTCAGGTCTCCCCACTCCCACACAGGGCTCTTCCACGGGTTCCTTAAGGGCCCGGAGGCTCTGGAATTCTCCATCTGGAATGTTAGAGATCAAAAGAAGAGGATTCTGCCTTAAACGGGAGACTGGGTTCTACCTCCTCCAGGCAAAGCAAATGCTCCCACTTGTCCTGTCACTGAAATTTATCAGATGGAAAAAGCAAAACCCTCGTTCCTCCCCACGCCACTGTCCCTAAACTATAGGTCTCCTCCCACCCCCACTCCAATGAGCTTAGCTGGTGGCAGGCCTTTACCGTAGAGCTTGGCGATAATTGTGGGTCCGTGGTGGCGGCTGTTTTTCTTGCTCAGAATAATGGCATACTCATCATAGTTGGTGTGGACCACATAGGACTCGATGGTGATGGGCCATTCTGCATGGGAGATGCAGGAAGATGAAGGGCTCAGTGGTCAGAAGACTCCCATGGCCCGAGAGCCTTCACCTGGTCACCCACACATCACCTGTTTGGCCATCCTGTCTACCCATCCCTCCCATATTCTTATTTATTCGTGCACCTTCTCCAGAGAGTTATCATTAATTCATCTACCATCACTTCATCCCTCCATCATCTCCATATATCAATCCATAAATGGATCCATTTTTCTTCATCCTTCCCTCCTCCCTTCCTTCTTTCCTTTCTTTCTTCTTCCCTCCATTCCTGAAATCATCAATTTATCTATTAGAGGATTGATTGGTTCACTTATCTGCCACTCATACATATGTTTATTCATTTACCAAACACTTGTTTATTCTCTCACTCCAACCATCCATCTACCCAAGCATTCATATATTCAGCCTTGAGCACAATTAGTTAACCCTCAGAGCATATTCAATAAACATTTGCTGGATAAATGAATAAACTCACGTCCAAGTCTCCCTATCACGTGGCACCATGCACTCTGTACGTGGTAGGTGCTTGGCAAACCTTTATCAGCTGATTGCAGATGCCTACCATGAGGACTGATGAAATCTTGATATTACCTCACTTTCACACATGGATGTGCATGTGTGAGAGAGTGATAGAGAAACAGGAGGAGGGAGGGAAAGAGAGAGAGGGAGAAGGAGGAGGAAAAGGAAGAGGAAAAGAAGGAGGAGGAAGGAGAGGAAGCATTTGGAAGAAGGTTAGATGACATCTCGGAACAACAGGAGGAAAGGTTAGAGGGGGAGACAAGGAAAGAGAGCTGAAGGGGTCAAGGAATTGTTGGGCGAAGGAGAGAGCTGTGGTGTGTCCTCTGACGCAACTTACTAATAGTTCTGTGATAGAGGAACTTCCCGGCAGTGTCCGTTTTCTCGTAGGTCCCAGAGAGCTCCTCACAGACGCCTCTCCTGGAAGTGAACAAATCCAAGGCCGGGTAAATGCTGGTCGAGGCCATGCTCCCTCACCCCCTTCTCCTTCCTGCTCTTCCCAAACCTCTCTCTCTTCTTTTTAAATCGGACAGTAACATTTTCAATGATCTTGTTTAACCCTGGTACCCTTCCCCATCCCTCCCACACCATCCCCACGCTCACCGCCATCGAGTGCTGGTCGTGCTGATCTGCCCCTCTGTCGCTCCCTCTGCCAGCATCAGCGTGCTCATGCTCATCCTGTCCTTGTACCTCCCCAGGTGGGGGCAGGTGGAGCCCGTGGCCACGTAGAACCATTTCCCGTAGAACTAGGAGGCAGCCACAGTGCTCGGGTTTGGATTTGCCTCTGACCTTGAGGAAGGCTTGGCAGATGTCTGCTCCCCTCCCTCCTCTGAATGACTCCATTGTTGGTGGCGACATCTTATCGCTAATGGGAGGCCACACAGCTTCAAGGGTGGATGGAGCCCTGATGGTGGAGCTCAGGCACGTGGCAAGCTTGGCGCGAGAGGTGCAGGTGGGTCCCCTGCCCGCAGAAGGCCTTACTCTGCTGAGAGCTGAGGGCTGTGCTCTTCATTTGGATGGAATCTCCATCCTCGTGCCCTGAGGTCATCATTAACCACTGCTCTCCAAGGGCGGGTCAGGGGACCCGGCACTCACCACCTCTGAGCGCTACATGCTGGGAAGTGTCGCCTGTCCTTGAGCTGATGTGGGACAGGCCTAAGGTCTCCTTTTCCTGACTGTGTGTCAGGGGGTTAGAGAGCCTGAGACCCTCCTCCATCCCAGACCCTTCCACTCACGACCCTTCCTTCTCCCTGAGAGGAAGTCAAACCCACAGGACGCACAGGTAGGACAGTATGAGAGCCCCTTACACCCATGTGGACACCTGGGTAGACAAGGTCCTGTCCCGGGTCCCCCAGTGCCTGGGACAGAGCTGGGCCAGGAAGCAAGTCCCGGGACTCCCCGCACACAGCACCCTGTCCAGGCCTCATATTCTCATCAGCCCCGATCTCTGTCCTGCTTCCCTTTCCCCATAACCCCACATGCCCGCCTTGTGCCTCCCAGGCATGTGAGGACAGAGGACCCGGGACAGGCTAACAGGTGCTGTGGGATGCAGTGAGTGGCTAAAGGTTGAGGGCTGGGCATTGTGGGGGGGTTGCAGGGCTAGCGCTCAGCATAAAACCTTCTCCGGACAGGTTCAAAGGTGAGGGCATTGGACTTGGGATGTCAGACGAGTCCCATAGCATGACAGGGGCATGGAGTTGTCGCTTCAACAAACCCCAGACCAGTGGTTGGCAAACTCATTAGTCAACAGAGCCAAATATCAACAGTACAATGACTGAAATTTCTTTTGAGAGCCACATTTTTAAAACTTAAACTTCTTCTAACTCCACTTCTTCAAAATAGACTCGACCAAGTTGTGGTATTTTGTGGAAGAGTCACACTCAAGAGGCCAAAGGGCCGCATGTGGCTCTCGAGCTGCGGTTTGCTGACCACTGCTTCAGACAGTCTGAGCAGGAAAAGCCTTTAGGGACCCACCCCTGAGTTCCATATGGGGAGAGTGAGACCCCGAGGCAGGCAAGACTTGCCCCCAGCCGCTCACCGCCGTCACCCCAGAGGCCAGCCTTACCCTAGATATGTCGAAGTTCTCTTGCACTTGGATGTTGTCCGGCAGTGTGGGCACAGGGTTGGCACTCACTGCCAGGCAGGTGGTCAGAAGCAGGGCCCCAAGACTCCACATGGTGCTGGCTCCTCTCCTAGGGGGCTACTCAGAGGCTCAGTGGGGACAGAGAAGCTCCTGGACGGAGCCGGCTGCAAACTGAGGCTGGGGAAGGGACCTTTGGTGTGTAGGTGACTTTGGTGTTTGCCCTGCTCAGCCAGGACCAATCAGGGCCCCGAGGCCAGGGCTGGTCGATCCCTGTAGGGCCCTGGCTGGGGCCAGGAGGTCTGTGTCAGAGGAGGCGTTGACCAAACACAACAGGCCGGCTGCGGCCCAGGCTGGGTTCGGTCCCAGAAAGGATCCTCTTGTCATGGAGCATGTAAGGGTGAAGGACCTAGCTAGCCTTGAACTTCCTACTGGTCATTCCACCCGGACCACCTGGGAGTCAGGAGGATAAGCCTGATGGAGCCCATTTGTCACATGAGAAAACTGAGGCCCAGGAAGGGGAAGTGACTCATCAGAGACCATAGGGAAATCGATGATCTCCTGTCCCCAGGGTTCCTTCTCTCACCACTGCTTTCCCATAGCCCCAGCAAGTTATGAGAAACCATGATGATGATGATGGTAGCAGCTTCCATTCACTGAGCACCTGCCAGGTTCCAGCACTTAACACTGACCAGGAACTGAATTCCATCCCCACAAGCACCCCAGAGACTAGGTGCAAGTCCCCCACTCATGGACAGGAAATGTGAGTCTCCCAGAGGCAAATGACTTGCCCAGGGTCTCCCGTCTGGTGAGTGGCCTTGCTGGAGGAGGCAGCATTTGGTGGGGTGGAGAGCACGGGCTCAGGAGCCAGGCTGCCTTCTCTGCTGGCTGGGGTGCGGAGAAGTGGGAGCGGGAAGCCCTGGCTTCCGGTTCTGTGTGACTGTGGAGTGACTCTCCCTCTCTGCAGCCCAACGGGAAGATGACAGTCCCCGTTCTGTCTGCCAGAGCTTGAGGCCATGTGTGTGCCAGTCCACTGTCCTACGTGTGTGACAGACTCAGGGTGGGTCTGTCTTTGCGGAAACCGGGCCTCACATAAGAATGGCAAATGACAAGGAGTCATTAATAATTGAAATAGAGCCCGGCTGTGGTGGCTCAGTGGATTGAGCGCCATCCCATGGACCTAGAGATCCCGGGTTCCATTCCCAATCAGGGCACATGCCCAAGTTGCGGGTTCGATCTCCAGGAGGGGGCTTGCAGGAGGCAGCTAATCAAGGATTCTCTCTCATCATTGATGTTTCTCTCTCTCTCTCTCTCTCTCTCTCTCTCTCTCTCTCTCTCTCTCTCTCTCTCCTTCCTCTCTGAAATCAATAAAAATCCACTTATAGAAAGAAGAATCAATATTGGAAAAAACCCACAATAGAAATAGAACGCCCTGTTAAGGCTGCCTTCGGCATGCCACGATGGCTCCTCAGACCTTCACAGCAGGTCTGCATGAGATGGTCAGCCCCACTGGCTCATGGGAAGCCCGAGGCTCGGGGGGGGGGGGGGGGGGCGGAAAGAGGAGCCTGAGGCCCTTTGGACAGGGCTGCTCATCCAGCCGCACAGTCTCTCTGGGGGAGGGGAGAGGCCCAAGGCCCAGCCAGGATGGCGACTTCTGTCTCCAGGGCTGTTTGCTCTCTCGAAATTATTAACCAGCAAAGAGGGAGCAAACCCTGCCAGGCCCACTGGACTTTGAGCTGCTTTTAAAAAATTAACCCGGGACTCAAAGGTGCTTGGCTGGTGGTGCTCAAGAGGTGCTAACAGCCTTCCCTCTCTGGCCATCAGGGTGGGCGATGGAGGCTCTGAATCCCTGTCCTCCCAGGGGACACAGGAACCCAAGATACCCGGCCAGGTCACGGGAAGGGCCATGTAGGAGGCCTCGGAGCCTCAGAGGGGTCCCGAGCCGTGGGGAAGAGAGGCCTCGTTATCAGATGAAAACACGGGTTCCGGGAAGGAATGGAACTTGTTCAAGGTCATCCAGCTTGTGGGGTTTCCAGAAAGAAGGGAGGAGCTGGGCACTGGGACCTGTTTTTTTTTTTTTTTTGTGTGTGTGTGTGTGTGTGTGTGTGTGTGTTTGGAGGAAATTAGGGAGAAACCTGGTGACTAGGCCAGCAGGGACATCAAGAACATTGGTCAGAACTAAGGTCAAAGGTTGTGGTCAAGGTTCAGGCCTCCCTCTGCTCATGGTGGAAGGGAATGGCACAGAAGATGACCTTCTTTCCCCAGGAGGAGGTGACCAGCTGCCGGCCTTGCCCCAAATGCCTGACCCTTGGATTTAGAGCCAAAGTCTGCCCATTCCCGGCAAAGCTGGAGGTGAACAGCACCCTGGACACCATGACCGGTGACGAGAGAGATGTCCTCACAGCCCATGATTTCAAGGCTTTGTTATCATCCCCGACCCTTGTCCCAAAGAGCTAGGCCACTCAGAGATCCGGGTCCCAGTCCTAGTAACTTGCCGGGTGACTGTGGGGCAGGGCTTCCCTCCCTGGCCTCCCCTTCCTCATCTAGGTCTCCAAACGCAGGCAATAATAACTCACTTGACCAGGCTTAAATAAGAGCCAGGGAGGGGCATCTGTGAAAGTGCTCCCCAAGTGTACTCACTGGCGGGACCAATGTCATCACAGATGCTTAGCACAGCTTGTACCAGGCAAGCTCCACGCAGGCCACAGGAAGGCGAGAGCATCCCATGCCCACTAGAGGGCAGCAGAGGACTTGTAGAAAGACCGCGGGATTGCTCACAGCAGGCCTAGGACGGGCCTGGAGCCAGAGGTTCAGGCAAAGGCCCCTGGAACTGTCCGGACCAGAGCGCTCCTCCCCGAACCTGCTGAAAATGGTGAGTGCAAAACATTCAGCGCCACCTTGTCTATCTCCACCCCGGCTCCAGAACCTGGGGCGCCTCTGCAAAGAGTTCCCTGGGAGGTCCTCCTGGCGAGCCAGAAGTGGGAACAGCCGCTACTGACCAGGAGGTGGCTGTACCCCGAAAAGTCACTCCAGGAAGGTCCTACTTCGTGCGATGAGCTGAGCGCTCCAGGAGCACGTGCTGTGGAGCCCACCCCTTAAGGTTCTGTCATTTTACTGCAATAGTAGTCATCTTGTGCAGACGGGGAAACCGAGGAACACCTGGAAGATCAGGTGTTCCAGGGTCAAAGGGCAGGCAGCCAGTAGGTAAGCAATTCAAACCCAGGTTTGCCTCCCGGACACCTGAGTCACTCTGCTCCCCTCCCACAGCTGACAGATGGCAGTACCTCGGGCCATGCTCTCTCAGAGAGAGAGACCTGGAGCAAAGGCGCCTGATTCCTCTCCCTGAGCTCCTCAGGAGGGCTCTCCCATCCCCAGCGAGAGCATGCTCCATGTCTGCCCCCCGCAACCTGGCCCTTCTCTCCCTCTTCGGGGCCTAGCTCGGTGCTGGGGACTTAGTTGGTGCTTGGTGAATACGAGCTCATTGACTTCCTTAGAGCTGGGAGGACCACCCATATAGAAGACAGCTGAGGGAGACTGGGAGGTGGAAACCCTCGCCAAGTCCTTGAATAATTAATTACCCGCAAGAGAGGGAGTGATAGGACGAGTGATACCATTTAAAAAGCAACGAGCCCTCGCTCTGCGGTGGCTTTTCCTTGGGCCTCCGATTTTGCATTAGTCTGTGTGTCTGGGAGGATTTCCCAAGGCTTCGTCCCGCGGTGACGGTTAAGCAGCTGAGCTTTGCAGCCGGACAGAACTGGCTTCTGGTCGTGGCCATGACCCCTTCCGGCCTGTTAGATCTTCACTAAGTGGCTCCACCTTTCTGAACGTGGGGCTTTTCCTCTGTGAAATGGGGTTAAGAAGAGCTCATAGTGGTGTAGAAGAATTAAATGATGAGAAACTTGTCATGTTCTTGCTCTCTGGAGAGCCTAGCAAATAGTAAATGCCAGGTACCCTGGGGGAGGGGCCCTTAGGTGCTGTCCATTTAGCATCCTGATTGTGAGAGCTGGTTGCTGAACCTGGAGGAGCAGAGTAAAACTCTTTGGAGCTGAGTGTCCTTGAGGCCTGGCTGCTCTGGGACAGAGCTTATGGCCCAGGGTCCCGTTCCCTGGAGAAAGGGCTCCCAGAGAAATAAACTCCCAGCGGCCCGCCTGCCCCCAGGAAGGGCCCAGGCAGTTCCTCCCCACTCAGGCTGTTCTTATCGGTCGGTGAACGCAGGGCACCCAGGGCGGCCTGACTCCTGGCTGGCTGAGATGACGTCACCCAGTGTCCTCGGAGGGACTCAGAGCTCTTTTCTGAAACCACAGGGCATGCTAGCCTCTTGGGAAAGTCCCGCTGGCCTTGCTTCAGTGAAGACAAACGAACCTCCCAGTCAGCTGCCGGGGAAGGACGGCAGGAACTCTTCCCGGCCCTTTCATTGGGCGAGCGTCCTGAATGGACGCTTCTCTTCCGGGAAGAATCCCTGCAGGAAGGAGCCCGCAGAGCTGACGTCAGCGAGTTCATGAGTCTGTAACTGGAGTCCAGAGCTGAATGCAATTCCTCTCCTGTGAGTAGGGGGATGGCAGAATGTTTGTGCCAAGAGCATCCATTTAGTAGTAAAAATAGTAGTAACAACTAGCATTTAGTTGGCCCTGACAGCATGCCAGGCTCTGTCCTAAAAATGTATATGAATCCCCTCTTCCAATCCTCACATCATCCCCTATGAGCGCTTCTTCACTCCTCACAGGATAAACCCACCTTAGCTCCACTTTACAGAGGAGACTGAGGTTCGGAGACCTTGACCACCTTGCTCAGGCTCTCAGAATCCTGCTTCATTTGGGTGGTTTGTAAAGGATTCCTTTATCGTTGGGGTTGGTGAGGGTTCCCCCTAGGAGGGATAAGACCTCAGGAAGTCCCATCCTCTGCCCCATCAAAGGCTTCGGCATGGTCTGGCCTTGCTGGGTTGTGCTGGGCTATGACGGAGACTGACTTCTCCTGAGCTGGATAGAAACTGCTCCTCTATTTGCCCTTCCTCTGTGGTCCTACTGGGTGGCACTTGGCATGGTGGCTGAGGACACATAATCAAGACCACCCCGATACAAATCCCACTTCTGCCACCTGCCAGCTGTAGGACCTTGGAAAAGTTCCTGAACCTCTTCTTGCCTCGGTTTCCTAACTGCAACACGAGGATAATAATGGGACCTACTTCCCAGAATAGTTACGAGCAGTCAGCGAGTTCATACATGGCATGTACTGGGAACAATGCTTGGCACCACATACATTTGCTGATTGTCATTCTATCCATGGCTACCAATTGTTGCCTTTATTGCCCTTTCCCCCCAATTGTCTGGAAGCTCCTTGGGAACAGATAAGGCCGGTCTAGCAGGCCTGGCCTTCAAGTAGGGACTTAGTGTGTAACAGATGAGTGTGTGTGATCAGAGCCCTGAGCTGAATGAAGGTTCCTGAGGAAGACACCTTGGGTCAACTCCCGAAGGTCTTCCTGGATGGCCAGCCCATGTAGATGTCAATGATGGCCGGGGGGCTTGTCTGGCTCACATAGTAGGTCTGTTGCTACATGCTTCGAACTCAGGTCTCGTGACTCCAGTCCTCGTCTCCAATGACAGCCCCAATCCGTCTACAAGTTCTAGCAGCTGCTGCTTGTTGTTTCAGAGCAAGGCCACCCCTACCTGCCCCACCGGGCCCCACCTGTGTGTTTGCTTAAAACTGTGGTCAGTAAATTGTGGCTCACGAGCCACCTGCGGCTCTTTGGGCCCTTGAGCATGGCTCTTCCACAAAATACCATGGCCTGGGCGAGTCTATTTTGAAGAACTGGCGTTAGAAGAAATTTAAGTTTAAAATTTTGGGTTCTCAAAAGAAATTTCAATCGTTGTACTGTTGATATTTGGCCCTGTTGACTAATGAGTTTGCTGACCACTGGCTTAAAATAAAGGAAGATGAGTCCTTTGGAAACTCAACCAGAAGATGGAGGCAGGGGGGCCAGAGGATGGAAATGGAAAATGTCACCTAAGAGGACACAAAATAACCTTCGAAGCAGTTGAAATGTTGTCTATAACATTAAATAAATGTGGATTTGGGGCAAATGAGTCATTAAAAAGAAGAAAGACCCCGAGTGAGAGAAAGCTGGGCACTTCTGAGGGAAGGTGGCAGAGCAGACAGAGATGAGGCAGGGTGTTCTCGGCAGTAGGATCTTCACAGACTCTCACTCTGACTTCACCTTATGAGGCCTCAGGGCCTTTTACACACAAATACCTGCAGGAGTGATCTTCCTGGTGCTCATGCTGTCCCCCAACCCCTCCTGCACCGGCTGGGAGTCGGGTCCCCAAGGATCTGGAGAACTCACACAGGGCCCCTAGACATCTAGGCTGCTCTCTAGATTGGCCAGCATTCTGGAAACTTCTGGAGGACCCTCAAGCTCTTGGTGAACATCTCTACCCCCAAAGATTCCAGAGACTCCTTCCTAACGTCTACACAAGGTTTTAAAACTTCAGCAAGATAATTTAGGGATGCGGAATTCTGGGTGATCCCTTCAGTGGTCCAGGATTTCTGAGAACTGCCCTCACCCTGTTCTAATGCTCTGAGGTACCAGAGACCATCTTCTAAGTCTAACTCTTCTGGAGAACGACGATCTTATTTCATGGGGCCAAAGCACCCCGAATCCCAGCATTCCGGGGAAGGCCTATCGCTTTCAGGGTTCCAGACACGTCCTCTGCAATTCACAAATCCTCAGGGAGGACTACAGGGTTCGAAGATCCTGATAGGTCACTGGATCCCATGGGTGTCCTGGTGCTTCGGGGTTCTGGGCAAGTGGCAGCTCTAGAGTGAGCATGGCGCCTGGGAGATGGAGGACGTGGAGGCTTATCCCCTTGCATCTATCTCTGGGAAAGGAAGTGGGAGCTCTGCTGAGCTGGAACTAGGAAACTGGAAAATCGCAGCTGGTTCCAATGGGAAAAGGAGTCATCCAAACACAAATGAAGCAGCAACAGCCAGGGTCCCCCTGGGTGGTCCCTGTCTGTCCTCCCAAGGCAGCTAAGGAAAGTCTCACGCTCGGTGCCAGGGGCTTTCCTTGCCTGAGGTCGGAGACCTCCCAGCAAGCAGGGCCACGGTGCAGTGAGTGAGATAAGGGCTCTGGCGGGGGAGGAGCCACCCGAGCTGGTGGGGCATCAGAATCACCTAGCGCAGGAGCAGTGACTTCATGGCATGTCGGGCCCACACTCCTCCCCTCCCTCGGGCCTCTGCACAAATGTCACCTGCGTGAGACCTTTCCTGCCCCTGACTTAGAGCTGGGCCTGCCCTGGCCGAGGGACCTCTCACTGTTTGACTCCACAGCATTGATCACTGACCTCACAGGGACATTGCCATTTTCTTTTTGTCCATAAGGATAAGGACTCTTATGCTTTGTTCAATGCTGGTCCACCGTGGGTTCTCAGTAAATATTGGATCGGATTATTAATTTTTAAAATCCATATTGTCAATTCCATCGAATTGCCTTGTTGGCTACAAGTTGCTTTGGGTTAACTCATCTGCCATAGGCTAAGCTCCGTGCTGCCCTCCTTCCACATAGCCGTGGATTTGATCCCCATGACATTCCCGAGAGGGTGCTCATCATTTGATTTCCTGTACTGGTCCCAGTGGTGCATAATAGTTGCTCAGATAAAATGTGTGTCATACATGAAAGGAGATGGGACCTGGAATGTTCCAGATCACAAGGGGACACACACTTCTGCCAAGAATCCTTGCCTTCTCTTCCTCAGACTCACCCAAGAACCTCCATCCGGGATGTCCCCAAGGGAAGTGAGTGACTTACGAAGGACAGGACCAGCCAGACGTGGCTCTGAGGTCTCTTTATTGTCATGTACATGTCATCACCTGCTGCCTGGCTTCTCATGAACCCAGTCTCATTACTCACAGTCCGGGGTGGCACCCTATCTTGACTGCCCCAAACGGCCCCCCAACCGTCACCCCTGACCCTCAGGCATGGCCCTTGCCCAGCCAGGCTGCAGAATGGATGGGCAGCTGCTGTCCCCATTTAATAGATGGGAAGACTGAAGCCCCAGAGCACAGAGCCCAGCCCAAGGTCCCACGGTGGCCTCCTGTGTTCCCAGGTTGCTCTCAGCAGGGAGGGAGGACTCGGCTGGGGCTCCGTTTGCTCTCGTGCGGGGCTGGCTGGCTCCGGCCGCGGCGCAGGGAGCTGCCAATCTGGTCTCTGAGGGCCTCCAGCCTCCGGGCCAGGTTTGGAACCGTGGCCCCACCTGAGGGGGACGGGGACACTCAAGGCCTGCACTACCCTGGGTCATCAGGTCAGACATCTCTGGGGAAGCTTCAGATGGTACCTACTCTCCCCTGCCCCCGTCCCCTCCCCTTCCCATACGCCCTGGGCTTTGGTGTGCATCTGGGCATGAAGGTGGCCCTGGGGAGAAGAGAATTCCAAGTCTGGAAACTAGGAAGATCTTAGGAATGACCCCCGGGCCTGTGCCCTATTTCAGAAATGGAAAGACTGTTCTGGAGAGGGTGCGTTCCAGCCTGGGGATCCCAGAAAACCCTAGGGACTCCCCCCTCTTTCCCTTCCTCACCTCTCAACACCGGCGACGTGTTCGGGGGCCCTGGGGGCAGGGGGGGTGCAGAGGGCACCACCTCCTCCTCCTCGGTGAGAATCTCCGCCAGGACTCGGGTCTGAGTCCAGTCGCTGTGACTCCTGGGCCAGGGGGAGTTGGGTGGTGGGAGGTGAGCCTTCAAGTGCCCAGGCCTCCCCCGCCCCCCATCCCAGTGCTCCAGGGCTGGGCCCACCTCTCTTGGGGGCCCTTGGCAGAGCCAGGGCTGCACGGGGGCACCCAGGGTGGGGGCCGGGCAGACAGGGGAATGCCGTCGGGGGCCTTAGGGCCAAACACCTGCAAGAAAGACCACAGCGGACACGGTGATCTCAGCCCTGCCTCTCTGTGCCCCACTTCCGGGTGCTGATCACAATGCCACCAGCCCTACCACACCTGCCCCGGGGGGCACCAAGACTGCCGGATGGGCATGGAGGGGCAGGGTCTTGGTTGCTTACATCTTCTGTGGGCAGACTCCTCAGTGCCTGGCACAGGGGCTGGTGCAAAGCAAAGCGCTCAGAGGAGAGTCAGCGAGCGAACGAGTGAGTGAAGGAGTGAAGAAGCAAATGCATAAATGAGTGGCATGTAAGGGAAGGAAGGAATAAGCAAATGGCAGAGCGAGTTCCTGGAAGAAGGCAGGATGGGGAGACGGAGGTGCGGTAAACAGTGATTCTGGACCCCGGGCAGGAGCCCAATCAGCCACTTTCCCCAGGACACAGCTCCTGGGGCCCTGAGGCCCTGGAGCTCTGAAGCCTCCTGCGCTGACCCCTGGATCAAGGCCCCAGCTCTCCTAGCTTCCCCCCCCCCCCCCCGGCCTTTCCTACCTGGGGCAGGTGGAGCTCCCTCCGTGGGCAGGCCCAGTGCGCCAGTGGGGCTCGGCACAGGGGGCAGAGGTGGCAGCAGGGGCAGGAGCAGAGGGGTGGCAGGGCCTGCAAGAGGGCATGTCAGAAGCGCCCTGTCACTCCTGTTCCCCCCGACCCCCCACTTCAGGCTGGGCAGAGACTCACATGGCAGGAGGGAGCTGGCGCCATCGCACAGGGACATGGTGGGGCTGGGCCAAGGCGGGGCTGGTGGAGGTAGCAGGCAGAGAGGAGGCGCCTGGAAAGAACAGGGGATCTGTGCCTGCCACCCTCAACCCTACCACCAGGCTGGTCCCCACACCCCCCGTTTTAACAAATACTCCCGGGCACTATGGAGTGCCAGTTTGCAGAGCTCAACATACGAACTCATGCGACCCATCTTTAAGACAGCCCTAATCGGTGGGCACCATATCACCCCCATTTTAATAACCGAGGAAACCCAGGCAGCGAGAGGTAGCTTGACTCACCGAGGTCACCCAGCTAGTAGGTGACAGAGCTGGAATCGGAACCCAGGTGGCCTGAATCCAGAGGTCAGACTTCTAACCATCCCATTCTCCCACCTGCCCTCTGTCCCAAGGCCTGTCTCGGGGCTGGGGGCCGTGCTCACCGCTCCAGCTCCTGGACCTGCTGGGCCAGGACACGCTGCTCGTCCCGGGCCAGGTCCCGGCTGCTCTGCAGCTGGCTCTTCTCCTTCCTGGGAAGACGAGGCCCCAGGGAGGTGGCAGGAAGCAGGGCTGGTGGGGGTATCAGCCAGCCCCGCACTGTAGGGCAGTATGAGCCCCGGCAGGTAGGTGGGACCAGAAAGGAGTCAGGGAGCGGGCAGAGGGCCGCTGGGCAGAAGGGGTGGGTACGGAGTCTCCTGGCCAGGCCCTACCTGAGCCTCTCATTCTCCAGCATGAATTCCTGGAGCATCCCATAGAGGTTCTGCTGGGCCCAGGCCATGCGGGTCCCGCCGAATCCAGAGGCTGCAGCAGGGAAGGGGGAGATGGCTGGGTCCACAGGAGCCCAGATGCTCTCCACGTCCCACCTGCAACTGGGAGCTCATACCCTTCAGGTCCATCTGGCTCAGCTGGGACCGTAGAAGCCGGTTCTCCGCCTGGAGCTGCAAGATCTCCGTTTCCAGGCGCGGGGGCTGCTTTGCCGCCGGGGACTGCAGAGAGAGGCCGGAGCTGCCACCCGCAGTGTGCAGGGGCTCCGGAGTGGGGCGGGAAGGAGCCTAAAACCAGCCCATGCTTCCCCCGTGGGCTTTGCACCCTGGCACAAGGCTATGCCCACCTGGAGGGGGCACCTGTTCCCAATGCATCGGAGTGCCTATGGCCTCAGCTGCGTGCCAGGGGGCAGGGCGCCCTCTAAGCCAGACCCAGCTCCAAGTCCAACCCAGAGTCGGTTCTGTTCCAATCTTGGTTCAGACCCCACACAAGACTCCACATCAGATCCCAACTCAACTCGGACTTAAACACGATACCGGTTGGGATCCAGGCTTGACCCTGAATCACATCCCAAATCAGACTCTCACCTGGGACTTGCCACAACTCTGACCGTGACCCTGGCCCTGGCCCCATCCGACCCAGTCAGGGCCCCATCAGCAAGATTTCAACTCTCACCCTAACTCTGACTCAATCCTGTGATACCGACTCAGGTTCCAACCACTGCCTGACCCCGACCATCAGCCCTGCCACCCCTCTGCCTGGGTCTTCCTTCCCTCACCTTGGGGGCCTGGGGCCGGGTGGTGACCCGCTGAGCTCGGCTGGCGTACCGCAGGGTGCTGAGGGTCTCGGGAAGGCACTGGGCGGAGGGCGACACGCAGGCCACCTGGGGAGGAGGCCCCTGAGCGTCCCTGTCTGGGAGCCCCTCCCTCCAGCCCCACTCTTCCCTGCCGCCCCCCCCCTCAGGTACCATGAGGGTGACCCCGCGCCCCCCCAGGGAGTCCGCCAGCAGCTTGGTGAGCTTGCTGTCTCGAAAAGGGATGTGGCTCTGCTTCCGCCGCGAGTCCAGCAGCAGAGAGATGCAGTGGCCTGGGTGGGAAGAGAAGGTCCGGCGAGGTTATGCCCCTCGCCCGGGGCCGGGCAGCTGGTCTGTGGGGAGCAGGAACCTCCACCCACACCCCAGGGCCCAGCACAGGGCCTGGCATCTGCAGGGGCTCAGGAAATGCCTGGCAAAGGGGCTGAATGAAGAGGTGTCCCCTCAGCACGTGGCAGGTGGAGGAAGGCCCTCGGGGTGGAGGTGGGGAGACAGGTCTGTCCCTTCTTCCCTTGCTGGGCCTCCGCTGTCCCAGCCGCGCGGGGACAGGCTGAGCGTCTGAGGGCTCCTGCTCTGCACTTGAATGTGCTACCTCCCAGGTTAGAATGCAGCTTCATTCTAACGGAATCAAGTTTACGGGGTCTCTACGCTCCTCAGCAATGTTCTAAGAAGAGGGGCGTCAGTCAGGCAGGAGTCCTGTAGCCCCGGCTCACAGTTCTACACTACAACCCCCTGTCTCCTCCTCCTCTCCTCCTCCTCCTCCTCTTCCTCTTCCTCCTCCTCCTCCCCTGCTCCCTGCTTCCTGTACAGCTACAGGCCGGGCAAGAGGAGGGACTCACCCAGGGCCAGCAGGCTGCGGTTGATGCTGTTGGCCTCAAGCATGAGCTCCCCGCGGGACCCGGTGGCCGCCACCTTCTCGCTGCCAGCCAGGTCTACGAAGCACAGCTTCCCACCGGCAGGGTGTTCCCCAAGACCCCCAGGAGGCATCTGCTGGGCCTGGAGGGGGGAAAGGGGTCAGGGCTTGGTGGGGACTTGGTTTCCACTCCGTCCTCCGGTGCACACCCAGGCTGCTCTCTACACCGCGAGGCGGGCCCTGCTGGCGCCCTGCGCCAGCGCCTTTCCCACGCCGGGCCACTCACGGTCTGGCGGCGGATGTGGAGCGTGAGCAGGGCATGGCTCCTGCTGGAGGCCTGGTTCAGGGTGTGTGCTGAGCTCCTTCGGCGGCTGAGGCCTGGAAGGGGGAAAGCGACAGAACCCGGGCCTGAGAAGAAGAGCAGTAACAGAAAAGGGCCAAGGCATCCTGGGAGGGAGGGGCCAGCCTGGGCCAAGGCTCCAGGGCGGGGAAAGAGGGTGATGATGAGATGTGGGGTCTGGCTCCAGCACGAGCAGGTGAGCCGGGTTCAGGCAGAACTGAGTGGAGGAATGCCAGTCAGTAGACGTCCCTCAAACTGCTGTGTGAAGGGAGGGGAGCGAGCAGAGAGGTCAGCTGGAATAACGGGGGCAGGAGCCTGGAGTCTTACCCAGGACCAGCAAGCAGGCTGCGGTGAATAACAACACATCTCATAAACATCGGATGAATGAATGGGACTGGAACAGAGGGGCCCTATAGGCTAGGCTATAGGCGTGACCTTTGCCCTCAGGACATTGGGAGGGTCTGGAGGGGAAGAGGGATGTGGACTGCCGCCTGGAAGAGCACAGATTGGAACGGGGGAGCCTTGAGTTGGGAAGATTTCTCTCGGAAGAAAAAGTAAATAAAGAAAAAAGAGGCTGACTGAGGCAGAGGTCCTGGCCTGGGAAGAGGGTTTGAAAGGCAGAATCAGCAGGAGGTCTCAGGCGGGATGGGGCATCCTCCGGCGGTGTCTGAATTGTTGTTGTGCTGGCCCTTGGCTCCCACAAGGGTCACCTCTGGTCATCACAGCTCCAGCCAGGGGCCCTGAGTGCATTCAGTGAGCAGTAGAGGGACAGGCTTCCCTTGACCCCAAAGCTCCCCCGAGGCAGCACGCACCCATCTGCAGAAGTTCCATCAGGGCCCCCAGACTCCCAAACTCCACCACCCGCAGCTGCTCCGCATAGAAGCCCCGAGTCTTGTTCCAACGCACAGGGAGGGGCCGGGGGGACCCCAGGCTCAGCAAGTCTAGAACCTGGGAGAGGAGGAGGGTGGCGTGTGAGGGAAGGGGCCCGAGTCCAACCATGCCCTTCCCAGACCTTACCGACATCAGTCCTCCCCTCCCCACAGTCTACCCCCTGATCCAAGCCCCATGGGAAGCAAGGCCCCCATTCAATTGTGCGCTTTCATTCATCCCCGTCCCCACCTGCTCGTTGTAGATCTCCAGGTAGGAGGCGTGGAGGGTGACAGGGGCGCCCAGGTGCTGCACGCGGTCTAACAGCCAGGCGAAGGTCCTCTGCATGATGCCAGCCAGGCTGGGGGGTACAGGCACCCCCTCGCCCTGGGGGCAGAAACACTGCCACAGTCATAACTACCCTTCCTAGTGCCTTTCCATTCTATGCCTCAGGAACCAGGCCAAGTTTCCATATAACATCTCATTTACTTCCCGCAGTCAGTGCTATCGCTTCCATTTCATGGATGAAGGCTGAGCTTGTCAGTAAAAGGGACAGAATTTGCCCTAGCTGGTTTGTCTCAGTGGGGGGACTGAGGGTCCCAGTTGGATTCTGGTTAAGGGTAGGACACCCTCCCATCCCAACTTTGTTAATTCTATCACCAGTAGGGGGCATGCAGGAGGCAGCCAATCCATGACTCCCTTTCACCATTGATGTTTCTCTCTCTCTCCCTCTCTCTTCCTCTCTGAAACCAACAAAAATATATGTTTTAAAAAGGAACACAATTTGAAGTTCATATTGGGCAAATCCTTCCACCTCCCTGGGCCTCAGGTGCCTTGTCTGCAAATATGTGGGGCTGAGTCACACTGTGCAAGGCCCTTCCCTGGGGGGGGCTGCTCTGTCAGGGGCTCCCTATCCCCACCCCCCCTTCCCCTGACCCTGGAGTGGGGCTCAGCCCACCTGGGGAGGAGGCCCCGTGAGGGTGTAGGTCTTCCCGGAGCCGGTCTGGCCGAAGGTGAAGACGGTGCAGGAGAAGCTGCGAGCAGAAGGCAGGGGTGCATGGCTGGATCTGGGCAGCGGGCGTGGTGGTGGGGGGACGGGTCAGGGAGTGCTGGGGTGCGGAGCACCCCCAGGGCCTCACTCACCCGCGCAGCGCCAGCTCCCCGAGTCGCCGCACACCGCTCGCCCGGAACACATCCTCCTGCGTGCGCGCCCCGTCCAGCACGGCCCCGAAGCGGAACGCCACGTCGGGGCCTCCGCCCGGGGGGCTCACCTGAGGGAGGGGGCGGTGGAGAGGGGGCGGGGCCTGGCCTGGGAGGGCGTGGCCTGGGAGTCGGGGCGCGGCCAGGCCTGGGAGGGCGGGGTCTGGGGCGGGGCCCGGGAGGGCGGGGCTCGGGAGGGCGGAGCCCGGACACAGTCGGCTGGGGGAAGGGAGGTAGGATGTTTAGGTCCTGGGGGTGGGAGGGTTCTTCACCTGCAGAGTCCGGGTCCCCGAGCAGTGCACCGCGCTCTGCTCCCCCCGGCGCAGCTCCGCAGCGCTCATGGGACGCACCCTGGGGTCCGACGGGAGGACCGAGAGTCCATCCCGATGTCTCTCTCCATCGGCCCCTTCCTCTCTCAGGCACCGCCTCGCCAACCTGCACCCACCTGAGCACCACCTGGATGGGCGTCTCCGGCCCCTCGGGGCCCTGCTCCAGGCTCCGCGCGGGGTCCCTGTGGCAGCGAGGCGAGTTAAGCTGTCCCTTGCCCAGCGGGCCTCGAACCTCCCGGGACCGCTGCTTACCCATCGGGGGATCCCCGTTCCTCCATGTCCTGCTTCGCTCCCTGGAGTTAGCTCTGCTCCCGTCTCGTTCCTTCCCCTCCACCCTGCCCTCCCTTCTCCACCACACTGCGGCTGGCTGTGCACACCTACCTCCCCCACCCCCTCCCCCCTCCCAGGCAGTCATCCATCCGGAAAGGCTCGGCCTTCCTCGGGGCGCTAGTTAAAGATTTACCCCGCCTCACCTCTGTGGTGGAGAAAGTCTCTCCAAGCTGGGGACCCCCAGCCAGGGGGATCTGGAGTCTAAAGAGCCCTTGCTCTTGCCCAGTCCCATCAGGAGGAGGGACTACCCAGACCAGCCTCTTCTGTGTACAGATGGGGACATGGAGGCAGGGATGGGAAGGCCGCATGGCAAGCCTGAGCAGAGCATGGACCAGGCTCTTCCTACTCCAGCCACATGCTGCTCCAGTTTTGTAATCTTCCTCCCTCCATCCCCCTCCATCCCCCTCCCTAGCAGCCCCGGCTTCTCTTCACTTCCCAGGGCCCTGGGAGGGGAGAGGCAGAGGTGAGTGGGAGGGGCCAGGTCTCAGCTCTAGGAAGACCAGACTGGATTGAGTTCTTGATTGAGTTGACAGAAGGGCCCAAAGCATCTGGTTAAACATGGGGCCACCTGCTTCTCCAATGCCAAGGCTGACTCAAGGCCAGGCCTGCTGTTTAACCCATCCTGGTCTGACCAGATGCCTGTGAATGGGCTGGGGCGGGGCACTTTCCCATTCAGTGCCAACCTCCATGCAGGGCACTGGGCAGAGGAATCCCCTTGTCTTGCTAGGGAGTCGGGAAGGTACTATGTAGGGTGCAGGGGCTTTGCAGGAATACAGAGGCCTCGGGGTGAGGGTGGCAGATGAGGGTGATAGGAAGGATCCACAGAGAGAGTTAGGGAAGAGCCAAGAGCTACCTGTCCCCGCTAAAATAGCAGAGAGTCTTGGGTAAGTCCTTTTCCCTTTCTCACCCGCTTCCTTCCCGTTAAAAGCGATGAATGATTTTAGTTAGTTGTTCTGAGATTTGGATGAGACGACGTATAGACAGACAGCTCCTGACTTATAAGGATTCAACTAAGGGTTTTTTGACTTTACAATAGTGCAAAAGCAACAGACATTTCGTAGAAACTGTACTTTGATTTTTTTCATCTCGATCTTTCCCCAGGCTAGTGCTGCGCACGCAGTGAGAAGCTTTCTCATGGTGTTGGCGGCAGCAGTGGGCGGGGCTCCTGTCAGCCACACAAACACGAAGGCACAGAATCATTGGCGCTCTCCAGCATCGTATTATATGAATTTTAGGCTTAATAGATTTCTAATTTGCTCTGGGTTTATTGGGCCATAACCCCATCGTAATTAAAAGAGTGTCTGTATTGGCAAGTGATTCATAAACTGTGAAGACTTGCCTAAAAGCCAAAATAAAAATCCCTAGATGATCTTCATGATTCCTTTCAACTCTGAAGTTCCTTGACCTGTTTTATATATATATATTTTAATCTTAGGGCAAGCATTACTATTCCTGCTTTTCAGATGAATACACACACACACACAGGAAAACAGAGGTAAGGCAGGGGAGGCTAAGGAGAAAGCAGCTGTAAATGGGAGGTGAGATCTGAGCCGGGATCTCCGAGCTCTAAGTCCTGGTGCTGTTTATCTCTCTGCCCTGGCAGGCTGCCTTGCTGGGTGTGAATGAACAGCTGTCTCCCTTAAATGCCCTTAAAGGGGTCATTCACACCTTAGTGTGCATGGGTTTTATCAGTTTCTGTCTGCCTCACACTGGACTGAGATGAGCCACACCAAAGCAGTTTTGAGACAGTGCAGAGACAGGGAAGATGTGCATATTGGGGCGTGGTGAGCTGTTTGGGGGGACTTTTGCACCAGGCTGCCCACCTTTGTCAGTATGCATACCTCACTGGATGCTCTGAGTCTGCCTTCTATTCCCAAACTGCACTTTTCATCCAGAACAGCTGGTCCCTGGTGGAGGGAGGGACAGAGGAAAGGCATTTGGGGAAACTCAGGGAAATTTGGAAGCTGGCTGGGCCCCACAGGGCTGTGTCTCTAGGCCTCGCTAGAGGGCAGCAGAGTACCGCGCCTCCGTGGCCCCGGGCTGGTTACAAAGGAGGCTTTGTGAAGTGCAGCCATGCTCTTTCCGTACATTTATCGCTGAGCTTGCGCACCGCGCAGGGGCTAACCAGCCTGGTGCTGTGGAAAGGGATGAGCAGGCCCACAAGACATGCTCCTTGAGGGAGTGAATAAAAGCCACATTGAGCAATCAGGGGCCCTCCCATGCACACCCCTGCTCCCGGTTCCAGCCCCTTCAATCCACCCCTCCTTTCAAACCCTGCCCTGATTCTCTGCGACTGAGTCATGTGTCTCCCCTACTCCCCACTCCCCCACTGATCCTCAAGCTTGTTGGATTGACTCTATTCTGCTGACCCCTCTGTTGTCCCTCTCCACTATCCACTGCCATCTATTGCTGCATCCTGTGCTCCAGCCCAAAGCTTTCCTGGGCTTCCCTTTAATTCTCCTGAGCATTTGCTCCTGCTGTCCTCTCTGCCGGGAGGGAATGCTGTCTTCTGCCTGGTGGGCTTGTCCTGCAAGCCTTTCCACAGAAAGCCTTGCCCATCACCCCCTTCCCACCAGGTCAGGTTGGGGTTGTGTTTGTCCCTGCAGCCTCCTGGGACTGTTCGGTGCTGGATACACTAGATTGATTGGTTTTCCTGTCTGTTGGGACCAGGGACTGCGCTGGCTTCAGCACACAGTAGGAGCTCAGCAAATGTTGGTTGGACGAGAGAAGGAGCCAGGAAGGAGGAAGGGAGGCTGGTCATCTCTCTCCAACTGCCATCTCTCCTCTCTCCTGCCTCTCAAGGCTAACCACAAACACTTAGCTTTGTGATGTAAGGATTCCTTCAGGGACTCATTTATCGGGGAGATCATCAGCCCCTGCCACAAAGCTGCTCTCCAACGTGCCCAGAATCCGGGTGATGCTCTCCCAGCCCCAGCCAAGCTCCCAGATGAGTCTGGGGTTCACCTGCCAGACAGCCTTGCACGGGACGGAGGTGGGGCCGAGATGACTATAAAAATCAGGGAGGAGGGAAGTTCTTTTCTCCTGCGGCCCTGAGCTTTCATTGTTCCACTTGTATCCTCCGGTGCAGGCAAAGCCAGATGGACCCAAGGCCAGCTGTGAGGTTTTCCAAACAGCTTGCTGTAATCCTTAATTAAAACGAGAATCGAGGCCATAGGATTCATTACATAAAATTCTCCATAGCAGGGACCATAGGGAATCATTGAGGGTACGTCTCTCTGGTCCCCTGCCCCCATTTTACAGATGGGAACACTGAAAGGAGGGGCAGCACTGGCATTCGTGGTGAAGAGCAGTGATTTGTGGAAGAAATGGAGAGAGCGTCACAGGAACCAATGGGCGCTCCGGGGCCACTGTTTCCCCTAAATGCCTGGCTCCTCCGCTGCCTCCGCACAGGCTTCTCCGGTGCCCGGTGGGGGCTGGCAGCCAGGCCCACAGAGGCAGACCGTCAGATGGAGGATGGTCCGTGCAAGAGGAAATGATGCCTTGAAGTCAAGTTCATCTTTTGGTGAAGATGAGCATCTCCGGGGGGGTTGTGAAATCAAAGGGCTTGGGGGTGTCGAAACTTCTGGTTGTCTCCAGGATCTCAGCTCTTCTCCCTAGAAACATAAGCAACTTTCCCCTGAGTCAGTCTACGCACTAATCACCAGGAATGACTTACCGATGAGCTGGATATTTTCCTCTAAAAACAATCATGTTAACGTGCAAGAATGTTAAGGGGTATTGAGGACCCTCTCTTGCACAATGATGCCTCATGTGTCTGGAACCTTCTGAATCAGAGGAATGGGAGTTAATATTTATCGAACACTTTTTGAGTACTTTTTCTACTTCATTTTAATGACTTTTTTTTTTTTTTTAAGCAATCCTCTGGGACTGGCACTACAACCATCCCCATTTTACAGATGAGAAAACTGAGGCTCAGAGACGTTCAGTAATTTGCCCAAGGTCACGCACCCACTAAAGGATGTGGGAATCTGGCGCCAAAACTTGTGTCCCACCCTCCACTTCTGCAGCCCTTTTCGGCCAGCTGTTCTGCACAGCTGAACTTTAGGTAGCCAGCGTTGACCTGTTAAGCACACACTTGCCTAGTTCAGCCATCTCTGTGGGACGTGCTCCCACATCGGCGTTCGCACTGCCCTGCCTTCTTCCCCGGGGATGCTGAGTGATACAGTGGAGCTCCTTACAGTATCACCTCGGACTCCAGAGCCTGCCTCCAGGGGTTCTTGCTCATTGGTTTGGGGAGCGGGGCGAGAGGGATCTCAAGCACATCAAGGCCGACAACTTCAGCTTTTCCATTTTTCCTCACGGCCAAAGTCATCCCATCCAGTGTGTGTTCTGGGCTATCTCCTGAGAAGGGTGTCTTAGAGCCCCATGGGCTTTGTGAGACCCTCTGTCTGCTCTTTCCAGTCCACCCCGCTTTCTGATGAGCCGTCTCACTGGGGTCCCCAAAGTCCCCTCTATTCATTTCTAGCTCTGGGTCTACTGAGAAATCACAGGCTGAACGGGGCAGAACGGCACGCAGATCCTGCCTGTCCTGACCAGGGGATCCATTAAGAGTTTTCCAGATTTTGTTTTTTCCTTTCTAGTTTTCTTCTGCACAAGCGACAGTAAGCTGTTCAACGTGGAAGATGCCGCTGCACATTCAGTTGGAATGTTAATTAAGCACTTAATTAACATTAAATGCTTAATTTAATGTTAAGCACCCATTATGTGCTGGGTCACACACTAGGTGCTAACAATCCACGGCCTCGTTTCAATGAGAGCACAGAGTGGCTGCCTCCTCTTCCAGGAAGCCCTCCTGGATTGGGATGGGACCCTCGTCTGTGGACTCACACCCTCCACCACCCACCGCCCCATGACCTTAATCCATTTGGTGGTGGCGGGGAGGAGGGCATGCACATCTGTCTGCTCAGAGAACTCTAAGCTCTCTGAA